CTCATTTGGTATCAGCCATTGATTGAGGTTCTGGATTTGAGCCTGCCACTTTTGGACTCGCGCTTGCTGAGGTGTTCCACCGAATGTCTCTGTAGATCTTAGAAAACTATTTCTTGATTTAAGTCATTGACGTGCTGGCTGATACCCAAACAAGGGATGAGCTGGAGATGTCACTGCCTTGGTCCTTTCACTATTGGCTGCTACTTCCCAGCGGATGTCAGGTGGTGCAATACCGGCTAAACAGGGTAATTTCTCCAGTGGTGTAGGGCGCAGACACCCCGTGATAATGCGGCATCTCTCATTAAGAGCCACATCTACTGTTTTAGCGTGATGAGATGTGTTCCACACTGGGCATGCGTACTCAGCAGCAGAGTAGCATAGCGCAAGGGCAGATGTCTTCACTGTGTCTGGTTGTATGCTATTGTTTCTAGCACCCACTTTTTGCTTGATATTCAGGCAGTGCTTCTTGTAGGTCAGAGCACGGTCCAGAGTGACTCCCAGGTATTTGGGTGCGCTGCAATGCTCCAGTGGGATCATTTTAAACTGAGACAATTAAAAAAAAAAGTCTGTGTTATCGATACAGTTCTTTTCCAGAACCACATCTCAAATTGTTGATTTCTTCCTATCTTTTTGTATTGTCTAGCTTTCACAACGACACATTGAACCATACTTTACTGTTGACTGATATAGCTTTATGTTTCAGGATATTGTCTAGTTCCTTGTCTAGGAACTTGACATATACATATACAACCATGATTTCTCAAAAATGGCTTTAAAATATATGATTGCAAGACAGATTGTGGTCTGCTGATTTCTAGGTTGCCGTGTCCAAACCTGCACTGCTGCAAGCAAGCCAGGATTTGTTAGATCATCTCAAGCTACCATCGGAGATTATGATTTCATGTTGGCTTATGAATTTGGGCTTTTAAAATTCATCACATGAATCTTGTTCCTTGCTAGTCCTATTTTAAAATGGTAATTCATAAAATGAAAAAAGAATCAAGTGAGGGGGAGGAAGAAAATGTGCTTTGTTTGAACATTATTGAATTGTAATAAATGCAAGTATAAGCCAACTGATATTGAACCCAAGCTTATTGCATAAGAAGCAGGCTTCAGACCAGGGAAAATTGTACAGCCCAAATTCTTAATTTGACTGAGTATATCAAGGAAGGCTATGAGAAAGGTTGCATTACAGAAGCAGTTTTTGTGGACCTTACAGCAGCCTATGACACGGTGCAACACAGGCCCGTAGCCAGGATTTCGATTCAGGGGGGCCTGAGTTTTTTTTGATTCGGGGGGGGGGCTGAGTCTGAGTGAAAGAGGGTCTACCCTAGCAAACCTTTTGTATCGTTACCCCAATACCCCCATGCATATGGGATATATTGAGTATGGTGATCAGATCATGATATGAATAAACATAACAGTTTAAATAAGGCACCAGTAAGGCCTTTTCGCGAACCACCATGAGAATTTCGGGGGGGGGGGGGCTGAAGCCCCCCCCCCCCCCCCCCCCCCCCCATTGCCTGGTGCAACATAGAAAAATGATGTATAAAGTCTACAGGAAACACTGTATGAACATCAAGCACAAAGTAGGTGCACGCAATAACATCCTGTGGAAACTTACTGGTAGCGCATGAGGTTGTTGTTCATTCGTTCAGTCGTTTCCGACTCTTCATGACCTCATGGACCAGCCCACGCCAGAGCTCCCTGTCGGCCGTCACCACCCCCAGCTCCTTCAAGGTCAAGCCAGTCACTTCAAGGATGCCATCCATCCATCTTGCCCTTGGTTGGCCCCTCTTCCTTTTTCCTTCCATTTTCACCAGCATCATTGTCTTCTCTAAGCTTTCCTTTTTTCTCATGATGTAACCAAAGTACTTCATATTTGCCTCTAATATCCTTCCCTCCAATGAGCAATCGGGCTTTATTTTCTGAAGTATGGACTGGTTGGATCTTCTCGCAGTTCAAGGAACTCTCAGAACTTTCCTTCAGCACCATAGTTCAAAAGCATCTATCTTCCTTCGCTCAGCCTCCCTTATCGTCCAGCTCTCACATCCGTAGGTGACTATGGGGAATACTATTGCTTTAACTATGCCGATCTTCATTGACAGTGTGAGGTAAAGACCTAAAATTGATAAGAATATCAGCCCTGGCTGTGTCCTACACAACTTATGAGTAGCACAAGTTTGTCCACACGAAGCAGGTGAATATAGCACTGAATGAAACATGCAGAATAATCACAAGATGCCTCAAACCTACACCTATTGATAGACTCAATAAGGAAGCTTGTATTGCCCCCCTCCCTGCCCCCGATGTGCAACTGGGAAGTTGCTGCTAACTGCAAGTGAAATAAGTTTGAACACCGTGAAAGCCATCCACTGCATGGCTATCAGCCTCCTCCCAATAGACTCAAATCAAGGAAAAGTTTCATGAGAACCAACACTCCTCTTAATGTTCCCCCAAGAACATCAAGAGCATCCGTCTGTGACAGCTAAACCAGGAAATCCCAAATGGGTGGCCTCTCATGAGGGTCTGCCTTCAAGAGCAAATAAAGAATGGGCAACTTGGAAGTCCATGAACAAACTCAGAAGTGGAGTGAGCATGTCATGAATGACTTTTCAATGACTTTGAAGCATAGGTTCTTTTTATTGGAATTTCCAGTGTGAGAAGGTATATCAGATTACAGAAAACATTTAGACAAAGAATGACATTGAACGTACAGACATACAGATTCTATGCAACTACATTGGATTCACAATCACATTGGTTAACAAACAAACAAAGGGGAATTACATTTTTACTCAACATTCACACCACATGGACACGCATTCATTCTCAGGCATCCAAATATTGCCATATCCTTTTCTCCCTCCTTGGAGAATCATAGAATCATAGAATCAAAGAGTTGGAAGAGACCTCATGGGCCATCCAGTCCAACCCCCTGCCAAGAAGCAGGAATATTGCATTCAAATCACCCCTGACAGATGGCCATCCAGCCTCTGCTTAAAAGCTTCCAAAGAAGGAGCCTCCACCACACTCCGGGGCAGAGAGTTCCACTGCTGAACGGCTCTCACAGTCAGGAAGTTCTTCCTAATGTTCAGATGGAATCTCCTCTCTTGTAGTTTGAAGTCATTGTTCCATGTCCTAGTCTCCAAGGAAGCAGAAAACAAGCTTGCTCCCTCCTCCCTGTGGCTTCCTCTCACATATTTATACGTGGCTATCATATCTCCTCTCAGCCTTCTCCTCTCAGCTAAACATGCCCAGTTCCCTAAGCCGCTCCTCATAGGGCTTGTTCTCCAGACCCTTGATCATTTTAGTCGCCCTCCTCTGGACACATACCAGCTTGTCAATGTCTCTCTTGAATTGTGGTGCCCAGAATTGGACACAATATTCCAGATGTGGTCTAACCAAAGCAGAATAGAGGGGTAGCATTACTTCCTTAGATCTAGACACTATGCTCCTATTGATGCAGGCCAAAATCCCATTGGCTTTTTTTGCCGCCACATCACATTGTTGGCTCATGTTTAACTTGTTGTCCACGAGGACTCCAAGATCTTTTTCACACGTACAAGCACCTGTTAGGCCAGACTCTGCTTTCCTGCAGCCTGACAATGTATAGTTCCATAACTTCCATAACGCCAAAACTTCAAAATGCCAAAATGCCAAAACTACTTTCTCTAAGAACAATGCCAAGGACCAGATCTCTGTTTTCCATACAGCAGAACCTGACTCCCTGCACAAAATCCAAGACTCCAAAAGTGCACTTCTTCCTCTTCCCTTGAGAAAGAAGCCCCAAAGTGTCCAGAATCATGCTTTCCCATAGCATATCTGACACTCTCTGAATATACCATCTGTCTCCTTTCCATGGAGCAGAGCATGGCGGATGAAACAGACTCCTCAGGACTGCCACACTTTGAGCATTATTAGACTGAGTCTTTTATAGGAATATTCTGTTGATGTAGTCCCAAAGTTGTAAATGAATGATAGACGTCTTCCATCCTGGATCCATCTCAGTTACCTGGCCAGATGTTGACTCTTCTTGATTGGTGTTGACAAACACAAGGCTTGTGTTGACTTCCTTCTTAACATAAGGGATGTTGCAAACATTTCTGTTATCACTGTCCCAGTTCTTATCAGGATTTCTCATTAGCAAGTCCAGCAAGCAGGTAGCTAGTCATTGCAGGTCTTAATATTATACTTGTGTTTCCAAAACACAACTCCAACCACACATCTTCAATTTTTCCATTCATTCCCACACATCATATTAAATTCATATTTGTCAAATCTGCACATTGAATTTCTTGTGACAAGCAGATCAAAAGACAACCTGGTAAAATGCCATCCTCCACCTTGTGCAACTGTGGAGCGGCACAAACAACTCTGCACCTGTATGCTTGCCCACAATGCCTTGCCTCATGCACAGAGGAAGAATTATTTAAAGCTACAGACAATGCGGTCGCTGTTGCTCGTTTTTGGTCTAAAATTATTTAGCCACTTGTGCTCCCTCTATTTTATCAATTGTGTACTTATTTATGCAATGCATTTGGCACAAAATAAATAAATAAATAAATAAATAAACCACAGATTAACATGATGTGCATTTATGGTCATGGGATGAAATTTTTCTATTTGTGAATGGGGCCACAAACGAGAGATCATAGAATCATAGAATCCTAGAGTTGGAAGAGACCTCATGGGCCATCCAGTCCAACCCCCTGCCAAGAAGCAGGAAAATCGCATTCAAAGCACCCCTGACAGATGGCCACCCAGCCTCCGTCCAAAGAAGGAGCCTCCACCACACTCCGGGGCAGAGAGTTCCAGTGCTGAACGGCTCTTACAGTCAGGAATTTCTTCCTAATGTTCAGATGGAATCTCCTTTCAAGCAAATAGACTCTGGTGTTATCACCTAGTTGGAATAGTCATGCTCACAGAGAAGGAACCAGTAAAAACATGCTCAGTCTTTGCCCAAGAGACATGAAATCATTAAAATAATACTTTTGGTCGTGCACAGTTGTTGAGCAATTTCTGTTGTGCAATTGATCCGTGTTTGTCCTACATAACTGAGTAACAGGACCTAAGATCTTTATCTTGAGAACTCTTGTCCTTGGTGTTACAGTCTAAACTGAAGACGCAACTCCTACGAGATTCATTTGAACCACAGGTAAGGAATTGCTGTCTCCATCCATTCCTGAACCATGTCTTATAAACCGAATTAGTGTGCATTTTATTTCTCAAACTGGAGTCAGATAGAAAGCCAGCCTGGACTTTAGAAAGGTGAATGCTGCATTTAGAATTGTCTCCCCTTCCCCATGCTCTGCAAATGGGAATCCCCGTTTGATGAAATAGGGAGGGAAGATTTATAGGATAAAGGATGTGTGCCAGAATTCCTATCCTTGAGATTTGTATGTGTCTGTATCTGGGTGTGTCTGGTGCTTTGATTTCTCTGTTGACTTATGTTGAAATACAAAGCAGACTGCATATTGAGGACATTTTTACTTAGAAACTGGAGTGCACTCTTGTTCTTTTAAACTATTCTGTTTAACTCTGTCCCTCTCTGCATGCATCCCACCTGGAAATACCAAATGCAATAAATATTTTCTCATGTTTGCTTATAATTGTTAATCTCTACCTCAGTCTAAGTTCAGTTTATACATACCCTGAATTAATTACTGATTCATATATAACTTGTGTGTGTGTAAATAGAATAATTAGGGTTTTTATCTTGTTCAGATTATAGATTTTCAGTTACAGAATGTTTTAGATACAACTTACTCTTTGGGGAGCCCCCAGTGGCATGGTGGGTTAAACTGCTGAGCTGCTGAACTTGCTGAATGAAAGGTTGACGATTCGAATCCAGGGAGCGGGGTGAGCTCCTGCTGTTAGCCCCAGCTTCTGCCAACCTAGCAGTTCAAAAACATGCAAATGTGAGTAGTTCAATAGGTACCACTTCGGCGGGAAGGTAACGGCGCTCCATGCAGTCATGCCGGCCACATGACCTTGGAGGTGTCAATGGACAACGCCAGCTCTTCAGCTTAAAAATGGAAATGAGCACCACCCCTCAGAGTCAGACATGACTGGACTTAATTGTCAAGGATAAACCTTTACCTTTACTTAATTACTCTTTTGGATGATAAGGATGCAACAATATTACATTTTAAAATCAATAAGGATGAGCAATGTTACTTTACTGGTCCAACAGGTAATTGGTTCTAGTCCACCAACACCACCCAAATGTTATTGAGTCTTAATGCCATTCTTATATTAATTCTAAGATGTTCTTTTTAATGTTAACTGTTTTAGAAAGTAATAGAAAAGGAAAGAGACAAGCAACAGATTAGCTTTTTCACTATTTCAACAAGTAAAAGAAATTGGTTATTTTTGAAACTCCATAATGAGGAACAGCATGTATTACTTTTGAAAAGCTCTGAGCTTGTTCATAGGCCACCCCTTAAACCTCTTCTCTATCAAGATGAAGCCAGAAGGAGAAATGGAGCGCCCGCCAACAATCCCTGTCAAGGGGATTCCTCTGATAAAGTACTTTGCTGAAGTTATGAGAGAGGTGGACAAGTTTCAAGCACATCCAGATGACCTGCTGATCTCCACATACCCCAAATGTGGTGAGTGATATCTCAGACTGTGCTTGCATCAATGGCTAGAAAGTGTTTTAGGCACCTGTTTTCTCTATTTTCCTTGATAGCCAAAGAGAACCAGGATAATTTAAAATATGTGCCTTACTTTAGGAGGGGAACAATACCATTGACTTGTGAACAGTGATGCACTTGGGTCATATGTAGGCATAACTATACCACTCAGACCTGGCAGAATTTGGCCAGCACACCCTTAGAAATATAGGCAAGCTAGGTCCACCTTAAGTTTGCACATGTTTTGGTTTTCTTTAGGTCAATGCACAAAGTCCAACATACCCACAAGAATCACTGTAGCTCTGTCATAGCCTCTCTTCCACTACAATTATCTTGCTGGTGGAGGGTGAAGGGGACTGAGGAAATGCCCAGCTCAATATACATTAGGTGTTGTATCTATACAAGTTGTTGATCAGGCTACTGACATTCCAGTTCCTTTCTGTCATTGAGTTACAACATAAAGAGTGGTTCTTGCTTCTGCTGCTTGCACACAGCTAGTGCCAGAGAAAGGCTAGATCAGTGGTTCCCAACCTGATGACTGTGGACCACAAGTGATCTGCGAGAACAAAAATGTGTTCCGCAGCCTCACCGTTACTACACTATTGCAACAAGAGCGACTCATCTCACAAAACTCTCTTATAGTGCCAAGGCTAATTAAATATGGCTTTTTTGGCCAAACAGATGCAAGTGGATGGTATATGTTCTGTATCACAAACTAGAGCTGATGTAGTCTATCCAATGCAATTTTCTGAATCAGCACCCCAAATAACCAAACTGAATCTAAAGTTGACCCAAAACTGATTTGTAACTCTTTCGGTACTAATGTTGGAGAGTGGTCCCTGGCCAAAAAAAAGGTTGGGAACCACTGGGCTAAATGAATCTTCCTTCAGCACCCTATTATTTACCTTTCTGGCTGGATTCTTTAAGGTATTATTTATTTATCGTATCAGGAGCGACCAATGTATTTGAGAAAACACAAAGTTTAAAAACTTGGCATTATACTAAATGTCCTTTGACCAGTAGCTGGCCACTTGGAGTGCCTCTGGTGTTGCTATAAGGAGGTCCTCCGTTGTCCATGTGGCAGGGCTCAGGCTGCATTATAATAGGTGGTCTGTGGTTTGCTCTTCTCCACATGCGCATGTGGTGGACATCTTAAAGGTGGGTTTCAGGGATTGGAAGAGAAGGCAGTCTGCATCCACAACACCATGGCCATGTCCTGGTCACAGTATCTAAGCCAGGGGTCCGCAAACTTTTTTAACAGAGGGCCAGGTCACAGTCCCTCAAATTGTTGGGGGGGGCAGATTATAATGTGAAAAAAAACATGAATGAATGCCTATGCACACTGCACATACCTTATTTGTAGTGCAAAAAAACACTTTAAAACAATACAATAATTAAAATGAAGAACAATTTTAACAAATATAAACTTATTAGTATTTCAGTGGGAAGTATGGGCATGTTTTTGGTCAATGAGAGGGTTGTTATTGTCAAAGGCTTTCATGGCTGGAATCACTGGGTTGTTGTAGGTTTTTTCGGGCTATATGGCCATGTTCTAAAGGCATTATCTCCTGACATTTCACCTGCATCTATGGCAAGCATCCTCAGAGGTAGTGAGACCTCACAACTTATATTTATTGTATATATATATTGCATTTATTTATTTGCTGTTCTTCATGTTTATAAGTAATAAGATGCAAAAGAGTAAGAAGAAGAATTCAAGATACTTTAGAGTTCTGGAGCGAGCTCTGGTTTGGGTCAATACAAGACAAGAGGAGATAACCTATGGCCTCTACTTGTTGCTATACTCCACCTTCCATCATCCATACTCCAGTAACCAATGAACCAGTGTGATGGGAGGGATAATATTTGTGGAGGGTCCTAGGATCTGCAGTCATCTTATTCATGAATAGTTAAGGGATAATAACAACTCTTTCAAGAGAAAGCAGTATTTCTGACCACTCCTTTTTGTAATGAAAATAGCACCTTGTAAAGTAAAGAATGGTCACTACGGCCTGCTTGTGGTTCACTCTTTTCTCACCACATTTTTCAGGAACTACGTGGATCAGTGAGGTCATAGACATGATCTATAAAGAAGGCAATGTGAAGGAATGTGGACAAAAACCCATCGACAAGCGAGTCCCTTTCTTGGAATTAGCTGCTCCTGGAGTAGAGTCAGGTAAAACACATATTTATTCATTATTTATTTATAGCATTTATATTCCAACCTTCTCACCCCACAGGAGACTCAGGGCGGATCACAATGCACACATACATGGCAAACATTCAATGCCATAGACACACAACATATATAGACAGAGACACAGAGGCTATTTAACTTTCCAGCTTCATGAGGGTATGCTTTTTGAATTATGGCCACTGGGGGAGCTGTTGCTTCACTATCCACTTGTGATGCCGATGGAGTACTTCCTCATTCTTTGCATGCTGCTGGAGAGTTTTATGGGGTCATAAATTAGTTAAATTAGCCTCCCCACAAAAGGGGTACCTAAATTTCGTACTTGACAGAAGCAACTGTCTTTCGGGCTGCAAAGGTCAACAGCAAGCTAGACAAATAGCTGGAAGCTCACTCCAACCCGGGCTGGATTCGAACTCATGACCTCTCGGTCAGTAGTGATTTTAATGCACCTGACTCCCAACCAGCTGCGCCACAAGCCGGTATGTCCTCCAAACCAGTCAACAAGATCTGTGGGTTGGGGAAATGCCAACTGAGTGAGATGGCAGATCTTCTTGGAGTCACAATCCCTCGGATTATTTCAGTTGTGACCATATTTACAGAGGATGGTGGGAGTTGTAGTCTGCATCTGTAGAACATAAGGTTCAGGAAGGCTAATGCAGTCATCCCTCCAAATGTGTAGGTTTATCTTATGTGTAAAATAAAGCTTTTAAAAATCTTTGGTTTTCCCACTTTCAAGGGCTCCTGCATCCCTAACCCTAGAGAATGTGGAACACTTGTGGTAAAGATTATTTGAAATGGAACACATGATGGGAAAATACCTTTAATTTACTCTTGCTTGCCCTTCTAGGCCCTGAGCTGCTAAAAAAGGTACCGCGTCCAACTGCAATTAAGACCCATCTTCCTGTCCAGTTGCTCCCAAAATCATTCTGGGAAAAGAACTGTAAGGTGAGAGGCTATCGTGTGTGTGTGTGTATATATATATATATATATATATATATATATATATATCGCACAATAGCAGTATAATACATTTCTTTGTTTGCAAAAATGAAGTATGTAGTCCTTATGAAAGCAAGTTTGAAAGTGTAACAGCAAAGGACAATTTGAGAAACCTGTGGGGAGACCTGTAGAGGACTTCTAGTGCTTCAGAGAAGACCTTCAGGATTCGGAATACCCAAGTATTGATCGATTTAAATCATGTTCATTATCCCTATTTTATTATTTATTTACTAGCTTGGTTATTTGAAAAAGGCATTGCGTGTTTTGGGGTGTTAGGTAATATCATTTACCGTAGTTAATTACTGACACTATTGATTAGAAAAAGTTTGGTCCAGATCCATCGTTGGTTGGATTCATAGTGCTCTATGGATGTAGGTGAACCACAACTCCTATAAATCAAGGTAAATACCCGCCCCCCCCCCCCAAACCTGGTCATGGGAGTTCTGCGTGCCAAATGTGGTCCAGGTCCATTATCAAAGGAGGTCACAGTGCTCTGCCTTGATACGGGGTGAACTATAACTTCCATCCTTTTGAGTCAGTCCCACAAACCCCTCCAGTCTGTTCAGTTGGCGATCAATTCCTCTCTGTTTGTTGTGTGCCATAGGAAAGGGTTAAGGGAGAGGCAGTAGGCGTCATGCACATTTCATACCAATGGATAGAGAAAGGAACCCTGGCATGCCAGCTTATGGTGGGCGAAAGGTAGTAGGCTATTGTGTTTGGGGCTGACATTGGCAGGGTTTGGGCTACATCAGTGGTTCTCAACCTGTGGATCCCCAGGTGTTTTGGCCTACAACTCCCAGAAATCCCAGCCAGTTTACCAGCTGTAAGGATTTCTGGGAGTTGAAGGCCAAAACATCTGGGGACTCATAGGTTGAGAATCACTGGGCTACATGTTCATGGTGCTTGCTTTAACCTGCAATGTCAGTGGAGGAAGTACCTTTGGAGGCTTCTGAGCACTTGGAACTATCGCCTGTTTGTGGAGGCAGGAGGCTGTCTGTGTAAGTGGACACCTCTGCCACATACACATACACTTTTTCACTTTTATTATGTGTATAGATTTATCCATTTATTCATTCGTTCATATGTAACAGATTATATATATGGCCAGAAATGCCAAAGACGTAGCTGTTTCCTATTATTTCTTCTATCAAATGGCGAAAGTTCATCCTGAACCTGGAACATGGGATGAATTCCTACGGAAATTTATGGCTGGAGATGGTAAGGATGGTGAAGTGAGAAATTAATCGTAGTACGCATTGATACAGTAGACCAACTTCTCCCAACTTGGAAATTTTGAGTTGTGTTGTACTGTCTGAGCCATGAATTCACAGATAGCAGTGGACTTTTCCCCCTGAATCCTATCTGGAAATCCCTGATATATTCTTGTGGTCTTCCAACTAAGTCAGTGGTTCCCAAACTTTGGTCCTCCAGGTGTTTTGGACTTCAATAATCAGAAATCCCAGCCAGATTGCCAACTGTTAGGAATCATAGGACTGAAGTCCAAAACACCTAGAGGACCAAAGGTTGGGAACCATTGATCTAAGTACTAGAAAAGTTCTACCTCTGCGGAGCTTCCAACATCAGATGGCATCATATATTCATTGTTGTTGTATGCCTTCAAGTCAGTTCCGATTTATGTCATCCTGAAGGCGACCCTTTGCCTTCCTCTGAGTGTGACTTGTCCAAGGTCTCCATGGCTCAGTGGTAAATTCAAATCCAGGACTATGAACCTGGTTTCTAGAGTCATATCCAATGCTCAAACTATTACACCATAATGGCTCCCATTCAATATTGAGATGCAGTCATCCCAGGTCTATTGAACCTTGATTGTTGGGAAGCTGAATTCAGAAACACTTGTAGGATCCCCAGTTATCCACCCTGAATGAGAACTTTAAGTAAGAAGACAATGCTCCATAATATTGTCCACACTCACATTAACCCTTTGGAGATTTCTGGAAGTTTTTTTTCTCACTGAGATGCAACTATTTCTCTCTTTAGTTGCTTATGGATCTTGGTATGACCACGTCAAAGGCTGGTGGGACAAGAGAAAAGAACAAAGGATACTCTACCTCTTCTATGAAGACCTGAAAGAGGCAAGATTTAGCCCCCTTCAAAAGTGTTCATTCTTTGCCCCTCTGTAAACTAACCCCTTTCCATGCCAAATCCAATCCATAGCCAGTATAACATCACCTTTCTTCACCTCTCACATATATCTCCTGAATATTTATTCTAACATGTAATGTAGGGAAACCAGTTCTATCTTCTATTTTTCCTTTCTGCTTCCTCTTCTTTTTCATCCTCTTTCAATATTCCATGCTCTTTGTATCCCACAGATCCCGGAAACTCAAAAAGTTCATGTCAGTGCCTGCACTCAATTATTTTGTTTAATATATGTGAGCATGGCATGCATGAGCAAAGTGAAGCTGAAGGGAAATCCCCTTCTTTCTTTTTCCTTGATATTCTTTTGTGCTTCTCTAACTCTCCAGGTTGTATGTGTCAACTGCTCTGTATCTTCCATAGATTGAAGAAACCCACAGGTTCTTCTCATTTTTTTTTAAAAAAAATTCATTTAAAATATGTATTGTCGAAGGCTTTCATGGATGGAATCACTCAGTTCTTGTGGGTTTTTTCGGGTTATATGGCCATGTTCTAGAGGCATTTCTCCTGACGTTTCGCCTGCAGGCGAAACGTCAGGAGAAATGCCTCTAGAACATGGCCATATAACCCGAAAAAACCCACAAGAACTGAGTGCATTTAAAATAATTATATATGTGAGGCAGGGTGGGAAAATGTGTCTTTTATACTCCCCTCTAATCCTATTTGGTAGCTCTATACATAATGGAAAAGAGGTAATTGTCCAGATCTGTAGCTTTATGGCAAAGAAATAACCTCATGAACAGAGTGGGAAGGCTTTATTTCTAAAAGCATACATTGTGGTACAAAAACAAAATTCCAACCGACAATTTCTTTCCTTCATACCTCCTATCCCTCACCCTGGCCCCTCCCCTTCATTGCTTCCGTTTCGGTGGAAACCCTTTCTCTTGTTTCAAATATACACAGGCTAGGTCTAAGGCATAGTCTAATTTCCTGGCTTCACAAAACAAAAACAAAACAAAACAAAACAAAAAACAGGAAATAAGGTCATGACAGTAATACTGTCCCATGGTGGGGCTCTATGTACACATCAGGAATAAGAATTATAGAGTTATGAATTCGCAAAAAGTATTATAAAGAAAGATAAGGATTCAGGATTGGAATATGATGGTCCTCTCCAAGAATTTTCCGGGCAACAGATGTTGGGCCACCACATGTACTGTTTGAGTCTTGGTACTCTGTCCTTCACATCTTTTTCTCCTCCTTCTAATGGTCTGATTCATCCTCTGTCATCTGCTTTCTGTGCTGCTTTCATTAATAACACAGCCCAATCAAAAAATAGTCTTGTTTTTTAAGCCTGTTCCTTGGTTATTTGGAGTGCTGATTCTGAAAATTGCATTGGATAGACTACATCAGCTCAAGTTTCTTAGTTTTAGTTGTCATGATCTTTTATGGGTTAGCAGATGCCAACTGCTTTATTACATGTGTTCTGTATCTCAAACAATGAGCTGATAGGGGAAAATTGGTGGCAGTTTTGGAGGCAGCAAGGCAAATATACCCAGAAACAGGGCTAACATTTGAGGCACCAAAATGTATGTTGGCCAGTGTAATTTTTGTCATCTTGACCACATTCTGCTATTGCTTGGCCACATAGGGTTTTCACCTTGGAAATGTTGAAGGGATGCCTCTTCTTCCTAACCAACACAGTCCTGTTGCTTTTCTCAGGATTCACGCCGAGAGATCCGTAAAATATTGGAATTCCTGGAGAGGCCCATGGATGAACAGCTGGTGGAAAAGATCGCACATCACACATCTTTCCAAGAGATGCGCCAGAACCCTATGGCCAATTATACAAACATCCCCAAATCAATTATGGACCACTCTGTCTCCCCCTTCATGAGGAAAGGTGAGTGGCCAGACACTTCAAAAAAGCAGGTCTGTATTTGTATCTATATTTTCAGAACAAGACATGAGGCAGTTATGATTATTATCTCAGAGTTTGGAGAAACATAGATAGGTTAAAGGACAAAGGAAAAGGCATATCTAGTTGTTTTGGTTACTACCACCATTACCACCTCCAACATCAATCTGCCTTTCAACAAATTGTTGCAATGTGTGGTTGACTGCTGTTAACAGTGTGGCGTGATGTAAAAATAAACCATGTGTAGTTCACGTTTGATCAGCCCACACATTGCCTTGACAGAGAAAGAAAATATGCCATGCAGTAAAGAACAAGTAGTTTACTCTTCATAGTTCAGAACAACATATGTACAATGTGATCAGTTACATCAACTCACATAATATCCTTTTATGAGAGATTTAAAATAGTCTTTCTTTGTCCATGTTGGATAAACTCCTTCAGCAGCTCATGAAGCGAGAGCACACTGCAAACTCGGTTTCTCTCTGCTTCTCTCTTCTAAACTGTCGCTCTCTAAGCATCTGAATAGCTCAAGCCTGAACACAAATGTAACAGTAACCAAAAGTCCCAGGCTCAGCCTGTTCCCCGGGCATTGCCCAACCAATCAGCTTTGTGCATATTATTTTACAGTTAACACACACTAACTGATTTCTTTACATTCTCCAACAAACAGTGCTTTTACTACTGTTTCTTCCCCTGCACTCAGGAATCACCGGTGACTGGAAGAACCATTTCACAGTGGCTCAAAATGAATCCTTTGATGCCCATTATAAGAGACAAATGGAAGGATCGACCCTGCAGTTCCGGACAGAGATCTGATTGCTCTCACCTCTCTCTCCTTTCAGTGAGAGGTTTCTTTAAAAAATAATAGATACTATTTGTTTTGGGGTTTTTTTTTTACATTAAGATTGGTGGTAGGCTTAGATTCTTCACATTAAATCAACTTATGCTGATTTCTGTTTGGATAAATACAGCTTCAAATAAGAAACTGAAAGGAGGAGTAAGGATGGAAGTCATGGATACACATGGAAATGGCTCTGAGTTGTAGTGATGAACAATTTCTCTTTGGCAGCCTTTCTTGGTTTCCCAGCATGTGGGTATATGTACATGTTACATGTTTAACACTAATACTAATAATAATAATAATAATAATAATAATAATAATAATAATAATATTTCTAACCCGCACCTCTCTCCCCGAAGAGGCTCGAGGAGGCATCCAAATATAACACAAAAACATAGCAAACATTCAATGCCGCACAAAATCAACCCCCTCCCCAATTTTAACGCACACACAAAACTAATAGAAGTTCTGCAGCTTGTGGAAATTCAATGGCTCAGCCTTGCACAATCGTTCTTTTCTGAAGCTCAAAGATTCCTGAGAAGACTAAATCAATTATCTGCCAAGCCAACAGCCCTGAGAAGGATTACTGCAATGCGCTCTACGTGGGGCTGCCCTTGAAAACGGCTCGGAAATTCCAACTGGTCCAACGGGCAGCAGCCAGGATGTTAACCGGGGCTCATTACAGAGAGAGGTCAACCCTCCTGTTCAAGGAGCTCCACTGGCTGCCATTTATTTTCCGAGCCCAATTTAAGGTGCAGGTGCTTACCTACAAAGCCCTGAATGGTTTGGGACCACCCTACCTGCGTGGCCGCATCTCCGTCCATGAACCCACGCGCCCACTTCGGTCATCTGGAGAGGCCCTGCTCGTGATCCCGCCTGCGTCACAAGCGCGTTTGGTGGGGACTCGAGACAGGGCCTTTTCTGTGGTGGGTCCCCCGACTCTGGAACGCCCTCCCAAAAGATCTCAGACAGGCCGCTACATTGGCAGTCTTCAGAAAGAACTTGAAGACTTGGCTGTTCCGATGTGCCTTCTCAGATTAGGAATCTCCAATACCAAGTGCTAGAAGCACTTTAGTAGAACTAAGATGGCTGCACACCGCACACTGCACTTACTTTATAATCCTACATACCTCCTGCCACATCAGCACTTTTAATCTTGTACCCCATTACTCTGGGCCGGCCCAGTTTTATAGTGTCTTGATGTACTGTTTATGTTTGTTGTTATACTGCTTAACTGTTTTTAATTTGCTTTAGGTATTGTATTGTTGTATTGTGTTTTGAGGCCTTGGCCTATGTAAGCTGCATCGAGTCCTTCGGGAGATGCTAGCGGGGTACAAATAAAGTTATAATAATAAGAAGAAGAAGAAGGGGGAAAGAAAATGTACCTAGAACAATGAAATAATCCCTAATAGTCCTCACCCAGAGAGTTCCATAATAACTAAACCCACTGAATTTTCCTTTGACTAATAACTACTTCATTGTTGTAGGTTTGTAAGAGGTTTGTGTCAGAGGTTGTGAGGTCCTCTGAGGATGCCTGCCATAGATGTAGGCGAAACGTCAGGAGAGAATGCTTCTAGAACATGGCCATATAGCCCGAAAAACCTACAACCCAGTGATTCTAGCCTTGAAAGCCTTCGACAATAACTACTACCATATGCATGGATGTTTTCATCACACTAGAGAATAAATCTACTTTAAATCCGTTTGCTGCCTCCTGTAGAATTCTGGGGTTTGTAGTTTAGGGAGGAGCCTTTAACAGCCTCACTAAACTACAAACACCAGAATTCTGCAGGAAGCAGAAAGTGGATTTAAAGTAGATTTATTCTCTAGGGTGATGAAAACATCCATGCATATGGTTAATTAGTAACATGTAAGCAAGAGGAAACACACACACACAGACAATATTAAACTGGAAATGGGGGGGCATTGGTAGGGGCAATGATCCAGCATAACCAGAAGAATGTAAAAGCCATATAATGTTACGTATGTACATTATATGGTTTTACATAAGCCTCTTCATTGTTTCTAAGACGAGCTTCTTTTGTGGACTTGCATAATCCTATCACTGATTCTTTGCATTGTCTGAAACCATATGATTAAGCTCAAGCCTGGGAGGCCACTCTGAATGGACGAATAGGAACTCTCCATTCTTCCCATCATAGAGGAAGCTCCATCCATCTCTGATGTCAGCAGGAATCCCCAGCCAGCGAGAGCTTGGATCCTGGCTTGGCCCGTTCTTAGCCAATCAGGGGAGGGAAGAGGTATTTGAATGGCTGTCAAAGGAAATAAAATGTTTACACTGTATGTTCGACTCTTTTGAGCAGCAACTCTATATCAGACACCCTGAATGTTATTAAAACCTCTTTTTGTTGAATTCAAACCCGGTCTGCGTTTCTTCATCCGGCTGCCAAGGTAGCATGGCTCACTGGGCGATTGATTCATTCCACTCCTGTAGGAGCAGCTGATTTGGACTTCATCCTGGTTCTCTTGTTCCTTCCTTTATAAACTTATATTGTGACCATCTCTTGCCATTTTTGTTTGCTTCCCTCACACCTGAAATTCCCAGGTGGAATTGAGTGAAGAATGCCTCCACATTTTATTCAATTTAGCTAGGTCAGGGAGCTACTTCAAAAAATAATTAAACCTTATAAGCTGGTTCAAATGATGGTTCAAAAGGGCACTAGGTGACATGACTAAAATCCATGTAAACCTGGCTATCCAGGTGGCATAGCAACCTTAGCTGTTACTGTTTGTTTCTGCCTTTCAAGCATCACACCCTGCCCTTAAGTCAAACATCTGCCGATTAGTATGATTGCTCATGTCTACAGAATTACAATCCAAACTAACATTCATCCATCCGCATTTCTGGATATTGATTATTCATGAATTTGATTTATAATGTTTTCTGTCAGAATCTCAAGATCCGACAGTATGATTCTATGGTCCACTTTCTCCAGACATGTTGCCTTCACCTCTCAAAATCCCTATGTCCTCCATAAAATCATATAACCAGCACTGAAGCGATGTTCCTATGCCATCAACTCCACTGGATTGGCCACGTTGTCCAAATGCCCAATCACCATCTCCCAAAGCAGTTACTATACTTCCAACTCAAGAGCGCAAAACATAGTTGGTGGACAGAAAAAGAGATTGAAAGATGGGCTTAAAGCCAATCTTTAAAACTTTGGCATAGACACCAAGAACTGGAGTCAGCTGTCACCAGCAGTACTGCAGAATTCGAAGAGGCATGAATGGAGGACAAAAGGGAGAAACGTGCCACGAGGAAGGTGCATCAAGCCAACCCTGACTGGGATTGCCTTCCACCTGAAAACCAATGTCCTCAGTGTGGGAGAGCATGCGGATCAAGAATAGGGCCCCACAGCCACCTACAGATCCACTGCCTAGACATGACACTTGGAGAACCATAATCCTTGGACTACGAGGGATTGCCTAAGTAAGTAAGTAAGAATCATAGTTGGAAGAGACCAATGGGCCATCCAGTCCAACCCTGTGCCAAGAAGCAGGAAAATTGCATTCAAAGCACCCCTGACAGCCTCCAAAGGAGGAGCCTCCACCACACTCCAGGGCAGAGAGTTCCACTGTTGAACAGCTCTCACGGTTAGGAAGTTCTTCCTCATGTTCAGGTGGAATCACCTTTATTGTTCTGCATCCTAGTCTCCAGGGCAGCAGAAAACAAGCTTGCTTCCTCTTCCCTATGACTTTCCCTCACATAATAATACATGGCCATCTCTTCTGCAAACTAAATTAAACTAAACATGCCCAGCTCTTTAAGCCGCTCCTCATAGGCCTTGTTCTACAAACCCTTGATAATTTTAGTTGCACTTCTCTGGACACATTCCAGCTTGTCAACATCTCTCTTAAATTGAAGTGCTTAGAACTATTCCACATGTGGTCTGACCAAGGGAGACTAGAGGCTTTTTTAGCTGCTGCATGACATTGTTGGCTCATGTTTAACTTCTTGTCCACGAGGACTCCAAGATCTTTTCCACATGTACTGCTGTCGAGCCAGGCATCGTCCCCCATTCTGTATCTTTGCATTTCATTTTTTTTCCTGTCTAAGTGGAGTATCTTGCATTTGTCAATGTAATTCTATTTTCAGCTTCCAATTGAGGTTGGCCAAAGTGGCATGACTGAAGTCCTAGAAATTCATAAAGATGTTTTCTCTCAGGTAAAAACAATAACAATTTTTTATTTGCGGTTTTTCATTTTACAGGAGTCCTGAACCCCTAAACCCAGTGACTGTAGAGTTTCACTGGAGTGGTTCCCAAAATTTGCTCCACCAGATCTTTTGAACGCTAGCTTCCAGAAGTCCAGACCATTAGACAAGCTGGCTGGGACTTCTAGGAGAGGAAGTCAAAAAGAATAGGCAGAACCATCTAAGAATCACTGATTTGAACTTAAGACACAATAACTTGACAAAATGAGATGGGGAATGAAGAGGGACAATAGTAACAACTACAAGCCAATGAACTTATGGCTTCACCTACATCCAGAGAGCACTGTGAGCTCAAACAATGATGGATCAGGAGCAAACTTGGCACCAATACTCAATGTGCCCAAATGTGAATACTGGTGGAGTTTGGTGAAAATAGACCTTAGCATTTGGGAGTTGTAGTTGCTGGAGATTTATAGTTCACCAACAATCAAAGAGCAATTTGAATTCCACCAATGATGGAATGGAATCAAACTTGGCACACAGAACTCCCATGACCAAGAGAAAATACTGGAAGGGTTTGGTGGGCATTGACCTTGAGTTTTGGAGTTGTAGTTCACCTACATTCAAGGAGCACTGTGGATTCAAACAATGATAGATCTGGACTTGGCACAAATACTCAATATGCCCAAATGTGGACACTAGTGGAGTTTGAGGAAAATAGATGTTAACATTTGGGAGTTATAGTTGCTGGGATTTATAGTTCACCTACACCCAAAGAGCATTCCGAGCCCCACCAATGATAGAATTGTTTCAAACTTCACATACAGAACCCCAAAGCCTTGAAGGGACTTGCTGACACGAGCCTCCCTCCAGCCTCACACACTCTCCCTTGGCCACACATGCATGCCACACTGCCATACACCAAGCACACCTGCTCTCCTCTTCCCTTCTTGGAGTATCAGACACTGCCCTCCTCTTGGCTGAGAGGCTGGCTGAGAGGCCGGTCAATCACAGCGAAGGAGAGGTTTTGGTGGGAGCACTCACAGTATGGGTTGTTGTAGGTTTTTTTCGGGCTATATGGCCATGTTCTAGAGGCATTTTCTCCTGACGTTTCGCCTGCATCTATGGCAAGCATCCTCACCTCACTACCTCTGAAGATGCTTGCCATAGATGCAGGCAAAATGTCAGGAGAGAATGCCTCTAGAACATGGCCATATAGCCCGAAAAAACCTACAACAACCCAGTGATTCTGGCCATGAAAGCCTTCGACAATACACTCACAGTATGTTTCCAAAAAGGAAGAGAAGGAGAGGCAAAGAGATCTTCAGCCTTCTCTGCCGAAGGGGTTCCTAAGACCCCTTCATGACTCCCTCATGTGTCCCAACCTTCAGGTTGAGAAATGCTGTACTAAAGGCATACGAGGTCTTTGCCTGATTGAGATTGAAAAGTGATACTAGATAGAATTGTGCAACTTGATTATGTGCCACTGTATTCCTGTTATGCAATTATATACTATAATATTTTTAATACACTTGTGGAATACAACCACTCCAATTGATGCTGATGTTCGAGTCATAAGTAAAGAATTCTTGTTCCGCTGTGGTGGTCAGTTATATAACTCGGTTATTTACCAGGGCTGTGAACACCTCCCCAGTATAAATAAAGATCTGCAGCAGGGTTTCGTTCCTAAAGGGAGAAAGAGGACAGGGAAATCTGGAATTCAGCTTGTGAAGAAGGATTTTCAATTCACAATAAAAGCCACAGTAGTAGGCAGACTTCCAAGGTCATAAAGGATTAATTGCAGCATTTCTTCTGTTTTCCACAAACTGGGTCCAACTCTTGCCAGCTGGGTTTCAAAGATGGTCACAAAGTGTTTTATAACACATTGACTTCCATTGGTTTGTGTATTCAAGAAGGGTTAAGAAAGGTTCAGTGACACCTCTTCAGCTTCACCGCCTCTTTCTCCACCCGTTCCTGGTCCATATCCAACTGGATGACTGTTCACTTCACTTCTCAATCCGAAGTCCGACACAAAGCCAGCAGGAACTTCAAGAGCAAGGTAAATGATGATTATGGAAATTGCTTCCTTTCCCTCGTTTCCCTCCCCAGTTAGGAGAGGAAAGAGCTACCAGAGCCTGTCCTAGGGTGTATCTACACTGAAACATTATTCCAATTTGATACCACTTTAACTGGCATAATATTATGCCAGTTAAAGTGGTATGAAGTCATGGGAGTTGTAGTTTCACAAGGTCTTCAGCGTTCTCTGCCAAAGAGTGCTGGTACCTTACCAAACAACAAATCCCAGGATTCTATAACATTGAGCCATGCCAGTTAAAGTGGCACCAAACTGCATTTATTCTGCAGTGTATATGCAGCCCTAGATTTCTTTCTTGGGGAGGGGTATTGCCAGACTTTAAGCATATATTTGGGTACTTCTCTCAAATTCTAGAGGAGCTAGAACTTAGCAAAGTTACTTACAGAGGCCATGCTGCATGGACAATTCTGGGAGGTGTAGTTCCAAGAAGTAAATATTTCTACTTCTAGGAAGGATTGATCCACAAAATGTACCCTAGTTTATATTATCTCATATTCAGGGCTGCAAACCTATGTTCACTTTTTCATAAAATAAAAAAATGTTTTCTAACATTTTCTGTACTTGTTAGTTTCCATTTTATTCTCAGCCTCTTCTTGCATATACTCTTCCATGCATATTTGTGTATGTGTAAGAATTTTGTGTGTGTGTGTGTGTGTGTGTGTCAGGAGCGACTTGAGAAACTGCAAGTCGCTTTTGGTGTGAGAGAATTGGCCGTCTGCAAGGACGTTGCCCAGGGGACACCTGGGTGTTTTGATGTTTTACCATCCCTCTGGGAGGCTTCTCTCGTGTCTCTGCATGGGGAGCTGGAGCTGACAGAGGGACCTTATCCGCACTTTCCCTGGATTCAAACCTGTCGGTCTTCAGTCCTGCCGACACAACCCATTGTGCCACCAGGGGCTCCCATGTGTATGAATTATTATTATTAGTATTATTATTTTTTTCAGGAGAGAGGGCATCCTAATCTATATAAATAAAAATGTAATTTTCATTTGTGGGATTAACATAACTCAAAAACCACTGGACGAATTGACACCAAATTTGGACACAAGACACCTATGAGGACCAGAGTGACCATCACTCATAAAAACACTGAAAAAACAGCAGAAGAGACTTAAAAAGCCAAAAACAAAAAAACATTACAACCTATGCACAAAACCACATAGATATATATGCAAACACACATATATACACAAATACACAAGTACATACACACACAAAACACATATACATGGACTGGGGGTAGAGGACAGCTAGTGTGTAATAATAATAACAATAACAACAATAATAATAATAATCTTCATTTCTATACCACCCTCTCTCCTGAAAGGGACTCAGGGCGGTTTACATTCAGAGACAGGCAAACATTCTATGCCTTACAAAGTACAAGCAACATCAAAAATAATACAAAATAAAGCACAATAACAATAATAAACTTATAATGAAACAATTAAGTTTTGAAATGGGAACTAGCTAGCAATAAACCAATTAGACAATGAACCTAAATCATGAATGAAAATTAAACATATATCATTAAAAGCAGTTAAAATAAATTACATTTGAAATGGCTAACAGAGGTGTTTATTAAAAATATATCGTAGCCATCATATAGTGCAAATGGATTCGCAAATGTTCCAGTGGATTACAGTATCTTAGTCTTCCTCCTCTCCATACGCTAAGGTGCATATGTGTGTTTTCAGAAGTTTCTTAAAGGAGACAGACACACAGAATAATTTCGGAGTGTTACATAGTACTGGTAATGTTTGGAGGCACAAATACTTGTACTTTGGGGTAATGAGAGCGGAAAAAGATTTACATTTCAAAATCATGAAATAAAAGCAATCTTATGGTAGGACATTACAAGTAACTATTTCTAGTTATTTCCAGAAATTAAGATAAGGCTTTTGAGCAAGTAGTTTTTAAAGTATTATGCAATTTTTTAATCCAGCATTTCTCAACCTGAGGGTCGGGACCCCTGAGGGGGGTGACGATGGGTGTCACAGGGGTTACCAAAGCCCATCAGAAAACACAGTATTTTCTGTTGGTCAAGGGGGTTCTGTGTGGGAAGTTTGGCCCAATTCTATCATTGATGGGGTTCAGAATGCTCTTTGATTGTAGGTGAACTATAATCCCAGCAACTACAACTCCCAAATGTCAAGGTCTATTTTCCCCAAACTCCACCAGTGTTCACATTTGGGCATACTGAGTATTTGTGCCAAGTTTGGTCCAGATCCATCATTGTTTGAGTCCACAGTGCTCTCTGGATATAGGTGAACTACAACTCCAAAACTCAAGGTCAATGCCCACCAAACCCTTTCAGTATTTTCTGTTGGTCATGCGAGTTCTGTAGTGAACTATAAATCCCAGCAACTACAACTCCCAAATGACAAAATCAACCCCCCACCCCAACCCCACCAGTATTCAGATTTGAGCGTACTAGGTATTTGTGCCAAATTTTGTCCAGTGGATGAAAATGCATCCTCCATATCAGATATTTACATTACGATTCATAACAGTAGCGAAATGACAGTTATGAAGTAGCAATGAAAATAATGAGGGACTGTATTGAGGGGTTGTGGCATTAGGAAAGCTGAGAAACACTGCTTTAATCTGTCCTCAGAATGACTTTCTCTCCAAAAAAAGCAACAGAAAACAGTAGAAAAGGAAAGTTTTCATTACTACAACAAGAGAAATGAATTAGTCTTATGAGAAACAGAATCCATTACTTTTTAAAAAAGTAACTTCCCACGCTTGTTCATAGGCTACCCTTTAAACCGCTTCTCTATCAAGATGAAGCCAGAAGGACGAGTGGAGCGCCCGCCACTGATCTCTGTCAAGGGGGTCCCCATGATAAAGTACTTTGCTGAAGTCATGGAGGAAGTTGACAAGTTTCAAGCACATCCAGGCGACTTGCTGATCTCTACGTACCCCAAATGTGGTAAGTGATGCTTTGGGCTGCATTTGTAGAAATATAGGAAAGGTGTCTTAGCTTATGTTCTTCCCGCTTGGCAGTCCAGGTTTCCAGGAGAATGTAAAACGTGTTATTGAAGGCTTTCATGGGTTGCTGTGAGTTTTCTGGGCTGTATAGCCATGCTCCAGAAGCATTCTCTCCTGACGTTTTGCCCACATCTATGGCAGGCATCCTCAGAGGTTGGGAGGACTGTTGGAAACTAGGCAAGTGGGGTTTATACATCTGTGGAAGGTCCAGGGTGGGAGAAAGAACTCTTGTCTGAGGCAAGTGTGAAAGAACTCTTGTCAATGTTGCAATTGGCCACCTTGATTAGCATTGAATGGCCTTGCAGCCATGTCAGATGAATCGGGATCTTCCCTGCTAAAATGGGACAGTTGGAATGTATGAACTTTGTCCAAGATATGTGTCAAATTACTAGGAATTGTTGGGTTTCCAGGAAGAATTTCATCATCTCTCCTTTTCAGATTTTTTTTTCTTTCTGAACTGAGTTGCACACACAATGGGAAATGGGTAGGTGGATTACCACAACCACAACAAAATATTGCATAAACTAGCCCTGATATAATGGGGAAGATTTGTGGCTGCATCTATCACCACAGTAGAGAGCCAGAGTGGTCTAGTGTGTTGAGAAGGATTTCCTGCTTGGCCATGGAAACCTACAACTTCATCAGATGGGCCACTGGAACCACCACACAATCGTTGTGATACCGGCAGTGCCCGTCAGGGGGTGTGAGGCCCGTGTCTCACATCACCCAAGTTACTCATCACCTGATCCAATGGGGGGAAGCATTGGCTGCCTGGATTACCTCTGACAACAACAACAACAACAACAACAACAACAACAACACAACAACATCCCAAGTGTAGACTCTGCAAGGAAGCAGATGAAACATTAGATCACATCCTCAGCTGCTGCAAGAAGATTGCACAAACAGACTACAAGCAGAGGCATAACACCGTTGCTCAGATGATTCATTGGAACTTGTGCCACAAATACCATCTGCCTGCAACAAAGAACTGATGGGATCACAAGCCTGAAAAAGTTACAGAAAATGAACATGTCAAACTACTCTGGGATTCCCAAATTCAGTCAGAGTTTTGGAGCACAATACTCCTGACCTCATGATCGTGCTAAAAAACAAAGTATGGATCGTTGGTGTTGCAATCCCAGGTGATAGCAGGATTGAAGAGAAACAACTGGAAAAGCTGACACGATATGAGGATTTAAAGATCGAACTGCAAAGACTCTGGCACAAACCAGTAAAGGTGGTCCCAGTGGTGATGCACACTGGGTGCAGTGCCTAAAGACCTTGGCCTGCACTTAAACACAATCGGTGCTGACAAAATTACAATTTGCCAGCTGCAAAGGCCACCTTACTGGGATCTGCACGCAATATTCACTGATACATCACACAGTCCTAGACACTTGGGAAGTGTCCGACATGTGATCCAGTACAACAGCCAGCAGAGTGATCTTGTTTGCTGTAGACTCATCTTGTTGTGTTTCAAATAATAATAGTAGTAACAACAACACCACCACTTTATTTATATTGATCCAATACAACATGGGAAGCCTCCTGTGTTGTTTTGGCAGCAGCATGCACCGGTCTATACTTTTGCCACAGAACCCCACCAGAAGTTGCCCTACATCAGTGGTTCTCAACCTGTGGACCATGAGATTAAATATGGTTTTCTGTGGGTGAGCAGATGGCGACTACTGAATGGCATATGTTCTGTATTAGAGACTAGAGCTGATGTGGTCTATCCAATGCAATGTTCTGAATCAGCACCCCAAATAACCAAACTGAATCTAAACTTGACCAAAATGGATTCGTAACCCTTTTGGTACTAATGTTGGAGAGTGGTCCCTGGTCAAATGGTCCCTGGTCAATAAAAGATTGGGAAACATTTCTCTACATCGTAGGATTGGAGCCAGTGGGCTCTGTCCCAAAAGTATAGACAAATTGGTGCATGCTGCCGAAATGCACCCCATATAATAGGGTCGTCAGTGGATATTCTTAGGCAAGTTATATTCTCTCATCCTTGGATGAAACGAAAGACAAATTTCCTTTGAACAGATCTTGTCCCATGATGGGTTTATCTTAGGGCTGACATAAGTTGGAAATGACTAGAAGACACACCCAATAACAACACAACAACAGAATGCTTCTGTCTAAGGGAGTTATTTCAATGCTTTTATACTGCCATAGCAATCCATTAGTTCCACTTTTGCCTAGGCAATGTCACACAACTCTTAAGGGTCTACCCAAGGGCTGGAATCCCATCCACACATAGATTCTGCATAGAATAATAGAATATAGAGCTGGAAGAGATCATACAGGACATCCAGTCCAACCCCTCTGCCATGCAGGAAAAGCACAATGAAAGTACCCACAATAGATGGCCATCCAGGCTCTGTTTTAAAGCCTCCAAAGTAGGGGCTTCCAACACACTATGAGGCAGAGAGTTCCACTGTTGAACAGCTCTTACAGTAATCTCTTACAGCATCTTAGATAGTTTGAAATTCAGATTAAAACCCATAATGGAATCAAAGCCACATTGTTAACTAGCTGGTACTGCCAAAATGGGCTCCCTGGTGGATCGGCAGGTTAATCTGCTGAGCTGCTGAACTTGCTGATCGAAAGGTTGATGGTTTGAATCCGGGGAGTGGGGTGAGCTCCCACTGTTAGCCCCAGCTTGAAGCTGCAAGGGCATTCAATGCTAATCAAGGTGGCTAATTTCAACATTCACACTTGCCTCCAACGGACAACAAGAGTTCTTTCTCCCACCCTGGACATTCCACAGATATATAAAACCCACTTGCCTAGTTTCCAACAGACCTCACAACCTCTGAGGATACCTGCCATAGATGTGGATGAAAGGCCAGGAGAGAATGCTTCTGAAACATAGCCATACAACCCGGAAAACTCAGAGCAACCCAATGATTCCGGCCATGAAAGCCTTTGACAATGAGTGAATGGTTTGTAGATTAGCGTTCCTGTCTGTTAGTTTTTTTCTTATTGTGTATATGTGTGTCCTTGTTCCTTTCATGTTTGTTAAGTAGTTCCCCCATTTTTAAAAAATATCAAACTGTAATTTGTGTAAAAGTGATTTTGTTTGTTTTTCTTTTTTGATCTTTGAATACAATTTTTCAAAGGAACGACGTGGATCAGTGAAGTCATAGACTTGATCTACAAAGAAGGCAATGTGGAGGCATGCAGAGAGAAACCCATCTATATGCGAGTCCCTTTCTTGGAGTTTTCTGTTCCTGATGTATTGTCAGGTAAACACATATGTTCTCCAATCTGGGCAACAAGACATGTGTGGTGTGGGGAAATATCATCTACATGAGACGGGAGAACTGCCAGGAGACACTTTTTCAAATGTGACTCCGTTAGCTGATGATGATGGGAGTTGTAATCCAAAGCACCTGTAGGACAAATGGTTTGGGAGGACTATTTTGGGTTGGGATAGCATACACATAAAGCTGGGCACCTGATGGATGAATCCTTTTCATTGGTTCTTTCCCACCTCATCTAGGCATTGAACAGCTAAAAAAAGCACCCCGCCCATGTCTAATCAAAACCCATCTTCCTGTCCAATTGCTTCCCAAATCATTCTGGGAAAAGAACTGTAAGGTAAGAGGCTGTAGTGTCATATATTGCACATATATTGCATGTATATGTTCGATCTATCTATCTATCTATCTATCTATCTATCTATCTATCTATCTATCTATCTATCTACATATCCATATCCATATCCATATCCATATCCATATCCATATCCATCTATATAAATAAAAATGTAATGTTCCTTTGTGGGATTAACATAACTCCAAAACCACTGGACGAATTGACACCAAATTTGGACACAATACACCTATCAGGCCAATGAGTGACCACCACTCATAGAAACACTGAAAAACACAGCGGAAGGGATTTAAAAAGCCAAAAAAAAAAAATGAAAAAATACATTACAACACATGTGCAAAACCACACACATATATGCATACACACATATATACACATATACACAGACTGGGTCACAGAAATGTGTGGCAGGGGATGGCTAGTAGAATATGTAGGTAGTTGATTTAGTTACAATAGGTGAAGCCTAAACAAGAGAAGAACAAAGCTAGGGAATCATGTAGGTTTTGCACATTTTATTAGTTAATAAAGATATCAGGTTTTTAACATTTTGTTTTATGGAATGTATTTTTTTTGTCTTCAAAAATAAATTTCGAGTTCTTAAGAAAGCAGGCTTAAAGGTGTAGCAACAGAGTAAAGGCTGAAAAACCAGTGAGGTCTAAGGAGAAATTGCAGTTGTCAAGGAGAAGACTTTCAATGTTATTTCCACCCCCTTTGTCATAACTGGCTTAATTTGTGTGCTATTCTCCATACAACAGATGATCTACGTAGCCAGAAATGCCAAAGATGTGGCTGTCTCCTATTACTTCTTCCATCAAATGGCAGTAGTTCATCCTGATCCTGGAACATGGGAAGAATTCCTGGAGAAATTTATGGCTGGAGATAGTAAGCATTGTAAAATGGGAAAGAAACCATAACAGGGCAATGGTGGTGGTGATGGTGGTGGTGGTGGTGATGATGACGACGACGACGATGATGATAGTGTGATAACCTAGTTGTCTCTTTGAACTGTTAGGAACAAAGATATGCCAATGCACAAGAAAAGCAGAGTTTTAGAAGTGTTATTTCAGTTGCCCCAAAACACCTACTCTCCCATAAAATATATTTGGTTTAAAATCATGCTTTCAAGAGACAAAAATAAGTAGTCTTTGTTAAAAGTAACATATCTGGTTTACTCACCACCTTCGTGTATTCATCATATAGGTACATTGCTTAGAATGAATAGTCTCAAGTTTAAAGCATCTCTCTTAGGATCAACAGCAACATCTTTACATTCTGAGAGTTTAATGGAGTCTGAAGTCTAAAATGGAGTCTGAGATCTGAATAGTCCCTGATCTGGTCACATGGTCTATAGTCCCTCCCACAACATAGAGTTATGGGAAAACTGCATACCAATACATACATATACCATATAGTAAGCAATCTGAATTATATACATAATAAATAACTAGTATAGGAGGCTTGTAGAAGGTTGCTATTTCCAACAGACATGAACAGGCAAATAGGACGACATTGTTAGGAGAATAAAGAGCTAATGTGCCTGACATTTGCTGTTCTAGATGCATTGGAACAAACCAGCAAATCCGTGATCTTTGACTGTACTGGTTGGATCTTCCACAGCCTGAACTTCAAAATATAGGGAGGCTAAACCCTGGATGTGGCTGGGATACAGAACAATATTATTCCATCAAATGCAGTAGATACTACAAATCATTCAGATATCTGCTAGGAGATCCCATTTACCTTTTCTCCACCTACGAACATATGAAGCTATATGTTCCATTTATATTGGTTCTGCAATCTCGCTAACAGCAGATCTCCCAGGTTTCAGGCAGGATTCTGCCTCAGCTTTACTTGGACATCCCTTTACATGGTCTGGTGGTCTTCCATCTAGGTATTAATAAGCTCCAATTTTGCTTAGTTCCCAACATGAGATGAAATCACATTTTGAGGGTGACACTATGTGTATTTCTGGAAGTGGCTTTACATTTCCATGCTCTCTGATAAAGTTTTCCCACCAGCACTCATTACCCTGTACCCTGACGGTTGAACTTAGCTGGCAGGAGCTGCTGGGAAGCCAAGTCTGGTAACATACCACTGCTTTCCATTTTCTTCCCACTGTTTCTCTCTGGAGGTTCTGTAGTCCAGAAAAATTCTCACTAAAGCCACTTTGAGTTTCCTTGTGAAGAACAAAAGTGGTGGTGGTGTTGAGGGGGAGATAATAATAATAATAATAATAATAATAATAATAATAATAATAATAATATACATCTATTTCTCTCCTCAGTCTCTTTTGGATCCTGGTATGACCATGTCAAGGGCTGGTGGGACAAGAGGAAAGAACAAAGGATGCTTTACCTCTTCTATGAAGACCTGAAAGAGGTATGGTTTTCTTCTCCTTAGAAAAGTTCATCGTCTGCTCTTCCCTGGTTTAATCTTCTTCAGTACCTGTTTGAGCCCTTTCACACTATGCATTATAGAACTATGATTCCACCTATGGAATCTCAGATTTCTAGTTTGAGGAGGCACTAGAGAAGTGGTCCTCAACCTGTGTGTTGAGATGTTTTGGCCTTCAACTCCCAGAAATCCTAACATCTGGTAAACTGGCTCCGATTTCTGGGAGTTGTAGGCCAAAACATCTGGGGACCCACAGATTGGGAACCACTGCATAGAGTATTCAGACTACAGCCCCTGATTGTAGCTTCTCTTTCAGGATCCACGACGGGAGATCCGTAAAGTATTGGAGTTCTTGGAGAGGCCCATCGATGAAAAGGTGGTGGAAAAGATTGCTCATCTTACGTCCTTCAAAGAAATGAGTCAGAATCCCATGGCCAATTATACAAGCATCCCCAAGGAGGTTATGGACCACTCCATCTCCCCTTTCATGAGGAAAGGTGAGCGGCACTAGACAAAACTTCAAAGGATTACTTGAGAAACCAACTCCTAAAATTTCCCAAGCTTTTCCTTCAGACAGCAGATGTTTCAAGGTGGCAGAACACTGTTAGGTGGCAGAACCGTGTGTTAAAGGACCTAATCCATTCTCTCAAAATTAACATGCTTCCTTCAAGTACAATACAGGATATTATCTGGTGCTGAAAAAAGATTCCACTGCCTACCAATCTTATATCAGGGTGCATCTACACCAGGTATGGGCAAACTTTCTAACTTGGGGGCCACATACTAGTACTCCCTGCTAGGAGGACTGGCTTCCTGGTGAAGGAAGGAAGCAAGGGAAGGAGGACGAAAAGAGAGAAGGAAGGAAGGAAGGCCAAAAGGGAGGAAGGAAAGGATGGAAAGAGAAAAAAGGAAGAAAGGGAAGGAGGGAGGAAAGAGGGAAGGAAGGAAAGAAAAAAGGGAAGGAAGGATGAAAGGGAAGGATGGAAGGAAGGAAGGGAAGGAAAAGGAGAGAAGGAAAGAAAGACAAAAGGGAAGGAAAGAAAGAAGGGAGGAGAAAGAGAGAGAGAGGGAGAAAAGAGGGAAGCAAGGAAGGACGAAAGAGTGGAAGGGAAGGATGGAAGGAAGGAAAGACAAAAAGGAAGGAAGGAAGGAAGGAGAAAGAAAGAGAGCGGGAGGAAAGAGAGAAGGAAGGAGGGACGAAAGGGTGGAAGGGAAGGATAAGGGAAGGAGGAAGGAAAGAGAGAAGGAAGGAAGGACAAAAGGGTTGAAGGGAATGGAGGGAAGGAGAAAGAGGGAGGAAAGGAAGGGTGGGAGAGACGAAAGAGAAGGAAATACAAAAGGGAAGGAAGGAGAAAGAGGGAGAGAGGGAGGAAAGAGGGAAGGAAGGACAAAAGGGTSGAAGGGAAGGATGGATGGATGGATGGATGCAAGGAAGGAAGGAAGGAAGGAAGGAARGAAGGAAGGAAGGAAGGAAGGAAGGAAGGAAGGAAAGAGAGAGAGAAGGAAGGAAAGAGAGAAGGAAGGAAGGACGAAAGTGTGRAAGTGAAGAAAGGAGGAAGGCAGAAAGAGGGAGGTAAGGAAGGGAGGGAGGAAAGGAAGAAGGAAGGAAAGTGGAAGGAAGGAAGGAAGGAAGGATGGAAGTGAAGGGAAGGAGAAAGAGGGAGGGAAGGAGGAAGGAAAGAGAGAAGGAAGGAAAGACAGAATAATGAGAGAGAAGAGGGCCTGCATTTGCCCATCCCTGATCTACACTGTAGAATTAATGCAATTTGACACCAATTTAACTGCCATTGTTCAATGCTATGGAATCATGGAAACTGTAGCTTTACAAGGTCTTTCACATTTTCTGCCAAAGTGCTTGTGCCCCACCAAATTACAATTAATTCTACAATGCTGATGTACCTCATGTCAGGAAGGGATACGAACTCTCCTCCTCTTCCACTCAGCATATTTAAGAGGTTTTAGTTTTGCTGCCCTCTCCTCTGTCTTATGTGCCATTACTCGTCACAGTGCTATAACCACTGTCTTTCCCCTTTTCATCAGGAATCACCGGTGACTGGAAGAACTATTTCACAGTGGCCCAAAATGAGCACTTTGATGCTGATTATAAGAGGCAAATGGAAGGATCGACACTGCATTTCCGGACGGAGATTTGATTGCTCTCACTTGCACTTACTTGTTTAGGTCCCCCTTTCAGATTTTTTTGTGAAAAGGTGCTATAGGGGTTATTAGATCAGGCATGGGCAAACTTGGGCCCTCCAGGTGTTTTGGACTTCAACTCCCACAATTCCTAACAGCCGGAGGGCCCAAGTTTGTCCATGCCTATATTAGATGCTGCTGTGCATACTCATATATAAGTCAACCTCATGTACGGTATACATTGAAAGCAAAATTGTGGTTTTTATTACGATCCATGGATACATAGAAAATAGACCAGCAACCATTTTCCTATGCTGGCATCCAAAAAGCCAGAAATGCTGCCATAGCATAGGAGTTTGTGTTTTGTTTAGGTTCTCCCAGGGCAGACTAATCTTGCATCTTTCACCACTATTCAGAGAAGGGAATGGTTCTGTTGAGATTAATTTCACAATTCAGCAGCAGATCAGTTGCACAACTTTAGCGCTTTCCAGTAGCTTCTTCCTGCACAGTATTTTCAGTCAACTGCTTCCACAGCCTGCAGTCACTCTGGAACCTTTTACAGACACTTGAGCACATGCCCGGCCATTGTCCGTTTTACCATTGTCTTTCCCACAGTCTAGATGACATTACAAACTTACCACAGCATACAGTTATATCTTGTCTTAGCAGACAGGTTCTTTTAATCAATTACCTAGAGCCTTCGACGAACAACATCACAGCTCAAGGAGAGAGAACACACTGTACACGACTTCCTTATATACAATTCTATACAACCACACATAGCAATCTCTGATTGGTTCCCAGCTCATTGACTTAACTCAAACCTAGGATTGCATCATTCACAATCACCTGGACTAGGCCAGAACACATTCCCCAAATGATTCCCTATATACAGTGAATGCATGACTCAGCATTTCCAATAGAAGCCCATTAGCTATATCACATTATAATACATTGTAAAACCTGACAGGTTCCTTTTTAAAATAAGAGTTAAGGTACACTTAAGGTAATATTGACCCATGGATCCACTGACCTAGTTTTAGTTTTACTAAAATGTCTAGATGTAGACATGAATATATGCGACACATAGCAGGCATTCTATGGGACACACAGGACCCTTTCCAAGGGTCAAAGCCTGTGAGTCACGTTGTTATAGTTTTTGCTGGTGAAGGTACGAAAATTAAGATTTTTTTTCATGTCAGGAGTGACTTGAGAAACTGCAAGTCGCTTCTGGCATGATTGAATTGGCCATCTGCAAGGATGTTGCCTAGAGGACGCCTGGATGTTTGATATTTTACCATTCTTGTGGGAGGCTTCTCTTATGTCCCTGCATGGGGAGCTAGAGCTGACAGAGGGAGCTCAACCCTCTCTCCCCGGATTCAAACCACTGACCTGTCAGTCAGCAGTCCTGCTGACACAAAGGTTTAACCCATTGCACCACTGAGGGCCCCTAAAACTCTAACTCCTTCAGGATGAAGGTGAGATTACAAAATTGCAAAAGTCAAAGAGCCATCTTCTCACAAAGCTTTCAAACCACCCAGGTCTGAACTCAATTGCAGTTCACTTCCTAGATTGCTCACACCTTGTTACCTGTTGGCTTCCTCACTTTGGCAACAGATGCAGGAAATAATTCAAACAGTATGTGAATGTTACAATATTGAAGGATGATATGTTAGCTCTTTATTCCATTTTTTTGGAAGTATAGCACTTTTTTTCTTGGAGATGCTACTTGAAATGAAATATGCTCAATAAAAATATAATGTTAACTTTTTGATACATTTTATACTTAATGAAGAAAAAAATGCATACCTTAGAAATGGATAAATATTTAGATTTCTGGTCATCTTTCTCATTCAGATATCTCTAGTTTGTCATGTTCTGGTGTATGGTTTGTGCAGTCACCAATTGCTTGCCACTTGCTCAACATATACAGTAAAATTCTTGTATCCACAGGGAACATGTGCTTGGCTGGAATGTGGTTACCTGCAATTGTAGATATGACCAAACACCATTAAATACCCGACTTTCCGTCCAGACATACTGTAAAGTTTCTTCCTTTGGCACACCTAGCTGCAGGCTGTTATCTCTCACAGGTTATACATACTTACTCTTTCACTGTGAGTTTTCCCGGCTGTTTGGCCATGTTCCAGAAGCATTATCTCCTGACTTTTTGCCCAATTGCAACATTCACACTTGCCTCAAGCAGACAAGAATTCTTTCATCCACCTTTGACATTCCACAGATATATAAACTTCACTTGCCTAGTTTCCAACAAACCTCACAATCTCTGAGGATGCCTGCCATAGATGTGGGCGAAACGTCAGGAGAGAATGCTTCTGGAACATGGGCATACAGCCTGGAAAACTCACAACAACCTAGCAACCCAGTGATTCTGGCCATGAAAGTCTTCAACAACACTTACTCTTTTACTTTGCAGTTGGTATCAAGCCAACTTCAATTTAAGGTGACCCTAAGAATGAGACCTCCAACCCACTCCTGTGCCAAAACCAATCCATTTGTGATTGGGTTTAGAGCACAAGTCCAAATCAGAACACCTTTGTAAATTTGCCTTTATTAAAGCTTTTTTATATTTATATTTAACTTTCCCATGGAACTGAACAAAAAAGTAGAGGAAAATGATCAGATTTTATTCTTTGAAGGCTGAAAAATGAACATGCAATGGACTGCACTTTACTACTAGATGCTTGTTGGTTTGAAGAACTCTTGTTGCATCCAATGAATTATTTACTTTTCCATTACTAACTTAGTATCCCTTACCTGGAATTCCAAAATACTACAAAATTGTCCATAATGATGCCTCTGCTTTCTGGTGGTTCCGTTCTTACATACTTTGTTTCTTGCACAAAATTATTTAAAATATTGTATAAAAGTACCTTCAGGCTATGTGCAAGTAAAGGTAAAGGTTTCCCCTTGACAGTTGTTATTATTATTATTATTATTATTATTATTATTATTATTATTATTATTTTGTCATGTCAGGAGTGACTTGAGAAACTGCAAGTCGCTTCTGGTGTGAGAGAATTGGCCATCTGCAAGGATGTTGCCCAGGGGATGCCCGGATATTTTACCATCCTTATGGGAGGCTTCTCTCATTTCCCCGGAGCGACCTGAGAAACTGCAAGTTGCTTCTGGTGTGAGAGAATTGGCCGTCTGCAAAGACATTGCCCAGGGGACGCCCGGATGATTTGATGTTTTATCATCCTTGTGGGAGGCTTCTCTCATGTCCCCCATGAGGAGCTGGAGCTGATAGAGGGAGCTCATCAGCCTCTCAGATTCGAACCTGAGACCTGTCGGTCTTCAGTCCTGCCGGCACAGGGGTTTAACCCACTGCGCCACCAGGGGCTCCCCCTTGACATTAAGTCTAATCGAGTCTAAGCGTGTCATCTCTATTTCTAAGCTGAGGTGCCGACGTCGAGAGACATCTCCAAGGTCATGTGGCCGGCATGACTGCATGGAGTACCATTACCTTCCCACTGGAGCGGTACCTATTGATCTACTCACATTTGCATGTTTTCGAACTGCTAGGCTGCCAGAAGCTGGGGCTAACAACGGAAGCTCATCCCACTCCGTGGATTTGAACCACTCACCTTTCGGTCAGCAAGTTCCACAGCTCAGCGGTTTCACCCGCTGCATCATTGCAGTCCCTTAGGCTATATGTAGTAAGATATATATGAAATATAAATGAATTTTTCATTTAGATCTGGGGCTCATCTTCAAGTTATCTCAAATAAAATAAAACAGTATTTTTTAAAAAGCCTGAAAACAGCAGCATTAAAAACAGCTCTGGTGATGCAATCTGGATGAGGAGCAAATTCCAGATTGGAATTTCTTTTTGTGCAAAACGAAAATAAAGTTTGTTTTTAAGTGTGTATAATAATGGGCCCTCTGAACTGCGAGAAAGAGCCTGGAATAGATTACTGAACCAATGTAGTGGCCCGGCTTCTATTTTTCTATTTTGCAACCTGAATTTCTAGCCCACCTTTAACTGTTGTCCACCTCTGGGCAAAACCACTCAGAAACGATTAAATCTGTTCTTCATTCTGCCCCTTTCTTCTTACGCAACTCCTGGCTCATAGTCCTATTATTTGTACTTGTTGCATAAGAGGTTTTTTTGTTTTGGTTTTTTTGGGTTGTTTCCCAGCCGTGACAGGCAAAGACCAATAAACACAAGCCCTTTTCTGTGCCCCAGACTTGAAATCACATGAACATACATGAAGAAGGGATATGAAAATATGTTGAGGGCTTTTTCTCCCACATCTGCAGTTTGTTTTATGCAAGTAATAATGGGAAGCAAGGGACAAAAGCCACCCGTTACTGCAGTGAGGAAAGAAGCAGTATCTTTGAAATGAGATGCAAATGAGGCCCAAGTTCAGCGTAAAGTACCTTCGTGAGAAACAATTGCTGCAATGGAAGGGCAGAAGTCCCCAAAATTGGATGATGGCCTATGAAAGTTTGTAGTGGTTGTAAAAGTTAACTTTTTTTTTTTACTCTTGTGTCTCTTCTTTAGCTTCAGATTGTCTATCAACCTTAGTTTGCATAATTTTTGTGGTAGCAACTGGAAGTTACAGCCTATCCTACAAGTTTACAGTTGCCCCTCTATAGGGTTGCATTAGAGGATCTAGAGATTCCTAGACAGTGTATGACTTTATGAGGTTCTGAACAGGCAGAGGAATGTTAAACTCCACCATCATCTGGTGGTGTCCTCAACCTTCCTAATGCTGCGACTACTTAATACAATTCCTCATATTGTGGTGACCCCCAACCATAAAATTATTTTTGATGCTACTTCATAACTGTAATTTTGCTACTGTTATGAATCGTCATGCAAATACCTGATATGCAGGATGTATTTTCATTCGCTGGACCAAATTTGGCAAAAGTACCCAATACGTCCAAATCTGAATACTGGTGGGGTTGGGGTGGGATTGATTTTATCATTTGGGAGTTGTAGTTTGGGATTTATAATTCATCTACAAAGAACATTCTGAACTCCTCCAATGATAGAATTGAACCAAACTTGACACACAGAACTCCCATGACCAACAGAAAATACTGAAAAGGTTCAGAGTTTTGGAGTTGTAGTTTTTGAGTTGTAGTTTTTGAGTTGTAGTTCACCTACCTCCAGAGAGCACTATGGACTCAAACAATGATGGATCTGGCCCAAACTTGGCACGGATACGCAATATGCCCAAATATGAACACTGGTGGAGTTTGGGGAAAATAGACCTCGACATTAGGGAGGCGTAGTTGCTGGGATTTATAGTTCACCTACAATCAAAAAGCATTCTGAATTCCACCAATGATAGAATTGGGCCAAACTTCCCACACAGAACCCCCATGACCAACAGAAAATACGGTGTTTTCTGATGGTCTTTGGTGACCCACCTCCCAGGGGCCCCAACCCCCAGGTTCAGAACACTGGTGAAGTTTGGAGAAAATAGACCTTGACATTTGAGAGTTGCTGGGATTTATAGTTCACCTACAATCAAAGAGCATTCTGAACCACACCAACAACAGAACTGGGCCAAACTTCCCACACAGAGCCCCCATGTCTTGACGGACTCGCTGGTGTGAGCTTCCCTCCAGCCTTGCACACTCTCCCTTGCCCATGCATGCGCACCATGCTGCCATGCCTGGAGCATGCCTGCTCTTCCCTCCTGCTTGGAGTCTCAGAAACAGTCCTCCCAGCCAATCACAATGGAGGAGAGCTTTTGGTGGGAGGATTCTGTTCTGTCTATCTATTGCCTATACAAAGCGGTATTGAATGTTTGCCATGTATGTGTGCAGTGCCCTGAGTCCCCTTCGGGGTGAGAATAGGATCAATAATTAGGGGGAAAAACACTATAAACTAAAATGCCCTTAACCAAATGTTTAGTCCAAGAAAATGCCTAGTTAACAATCTAAGACAGGCAGGTTAAATGCTTGATTATAAGGCGCTCTGCTGTTCTCCTGTTACCAAATTCTTGGCAGTGCTTTTATCAACGTGGCAGAACACTTAACACGGTTAATCAGCAAACGCCGTAAAAAGTTTAATGCACTTTAAACAAGATTTAAAAAATACCAGATGAAAGTTCAGTGGCACAAAGGAGAGTTGTAGAACGTGAGTTACACAATAACGACAAAAAAAGTAGCCAAATTGGTCAGGGAAAAAAAAAACTACAATCCATGTCAGTGTGACAATTGCCTTTGTTCAACTCAAAGGCCACAAAACGATGTGCACGCCTCTTCACCTGACAAAACAAACAAAACACCTAAAGGCTTATAATCTTGCATAATTGTAAGAGAATGGGAGATTACAGATATTTAAATTAGCTCTATTTCCGGCATGGGCAAACGTTGGCCCTCCAGGTGTTTTGGACTCCAGTTGGAGTCCAAAACTCCTGGAGGGCCAACGTTTGCCCATGCCTGCTCTATCTGGTACTGAATTTTATATGATGAATAGTTTTGAAAACTTGCATGACATTTTGCAACTTCTGAGATAGCTTAATAAAAGTGTTTATACTAATGAGAAAAGGGAGATTGTTTGAAAGGAACTGAGCAATGGGAGAAGGGATAAGGGCCACAGGGAGAGATGTTTACATCCTCCATTTGCACACCAGCCCCTCTCTACTTTTTTCTTAAACCAGGAGGATAAGTATCTAATCCAGTGGTTCTCAACCTGGGGTCACCAGATGTTTTTGGCCTACAACTCCCAGAAATCCCAGCCAGTTTACCAGCTGTTAGGATTTCTGGGAGTTGAAGGCCAAAAACATCTGGGGACCCCAGGTTGAGAATCACTGAATAATCTGTATTTCGAGGCTCTCACCTCTCCAAGAATCCTGTTCACATCATCAGGTTGCACACACTGAAAGGAATCCATTGTCAATGGACAAGCAGAGGGCAAAGTTACACCTATGGGATCAGTATCAATGGCAGCATCCCGGTTACAGTAGGTCCAAGCAATTTTATCTGTAAACAGTTGGCAAGGCTGTTTGCTGCAGGCTATCAAGTGATCTGGAGTTTGCTCTCTTGGGCTTGTGTACAAAAGACTCCTGAACACTTGCAGAATCTCAGTGAATTGATTCCACACCTCCTTTCAACAGAAAATGTAGGGACCTTCCACATAGTCATACAATCCAGAATAGCAAGGCAGAACAACCCAATAACTGTTTTAAACTGTATTATCTGAGTCCACACTCCCATATATTCCAGTTCATGAGGGATTTTATTCAGCTGTGTGGAGGGTGCCAAAGGGCGCATCCAGACAGCCCCTTACAACTCCAATAAACTCCAGTAACGCAATAAAGAAGGGGCTGTCCAGATGACGTCCTGGGCAATCTCGAATTAATTCGCTATAAACCAGGAAAACCTACTTGGATTAATGCTACCTGATGCTTCTTGTAGCTCTGGCTACAGCTCGTGGAAAACAAGTTAAACATGAGCCAACAATGTGATGCGGCGGCAAAAAAGCCAATGGGATTTTGGCCTGCATCAATAGGAGTCTAGTGTCTAGATATAGAGAAGTCATGCTACCCCTCTATTCTGCCTTGGTTAGAACACATCTGAAATATTGTGTCCAATTCTGGGCACCACAATTTAAGAGAGATATTGACAAGCTGAAGTGTGTCCAGAGGAGGGCAACTAAAATGATCCAGTCTGGAGAACAAGCCCCATGAGGAATGGCTTAAGGAGCTGGGCATGTTTAGCCAGAAGAAGAGAAGGCTGAGAGGAGATATGATAGCCATGTATAAATATGTGAGAGGAAGTCATAGGAAGGAGCAAACTTGTTTTCTGCTGCCCTGGAGACTAGGACGTGAAACAATGGCTTCAAACTACAAAGGAGATTCCATCTGAACATTAGGAAGAACTTCCTGACTGTGAGAGCTGTTCAGCAGTGGAACTCTTTGCCTCGGAGTGTGGTGGAGGCTCCTTCTTTGGAAGCTTTTAAACAGAGGCTGGATGGCCATCTGTCGGGGGTGTTTTGAATGCAATTTTCCTGCTTATTGGCAGGGGGTTGGACTGGATGGCCCGTGAGGTCTCTTCCAACTCTATGATTATATACACACTATTTCCGGTGTCTGGACTGCAGTCCAGACACCATTCCCACAGATTTCCGGACTAAATTAGTCTGGAAAACTGTGGGAATACTCACCCACCCCCCTCCCCCGAAGCCTTTTGAAAATTAAAGAAAACTTACCCAGCCTCCTGTACACTCTTGCAGCAGCTCTCCTGGCACATATAAATGACATTTCAGGAGAGAGGGGAAGGGGGAGGAGGAGCTATTTTCCTCCCCCCCTACCCTCGCTCTCCTGGCATGCCATTTCTACATGCTGCGAGAGCTCCAGCTACAGTCTACTGGAGGCTGGGTAAGTTTTATTTACTTTTCAAAGGGGTTGGGGGGGCATCTGGACACCCACCCCAGAAAGCGTGTGCTTTCTGATGTGGGTGTGGACAGGCCCCCAGGAACATCTGTGTTTATAAAACGCAAAAGCTCCTGGGATAACTGCCTGTCTGGAGCCACCCTAAGGCGCACCAAAGGTTCTATGGCTACCTTGGCTTCTTATGTTCTTTTGGTAGCATTAATCCACTGAAAATGAATATTAGAACACACAGTCCTTTATTAAATAAGACCGTACCAAAAGGGCAGCATTTCACAACATAAATCGAACAAGTGCAGGAGTCAAGGATATTGACCCAAGTCTCTAGGAATCTCTAGGTCAGTGGTTCTCAAGCTGTGGTTCCCCAGATGTGTTGTCCTTCAAATCCCAGAAATCCTAACAGCTGGTAAACTGGCTGGGATTTCTGGGTGTTACAGTCCAAAACATCTGGGGACCCACAGGTTGAGAACTACTGGTGTTGATTTTGCAGTTCAACCCTGTGGCCAAGTTTGTCCAGAAGGTAAGCATACAATGTGCTGGAGCACCTAGAGATTCCGAACACTTGTGGCATTTGTAGTTCTTCTGATGGGAGCTGACCACAGAATTATGTTGGAGGATTGAAGAGAATACGAGACAGAAGTTTTCTTTGGTAAAAAAATAAAAATGGTAGGTTTTCCACATTGCCCTCACTCTCTGCAAAAACGGAAAGCCTATTGTATATATACACCAAAACATTTCCAATAATGAGTTTTTTCCAACTATAAATATCGACTGCAATGTCTAAACCAGTGGTTCTCAACCTGTGGGTCCGCAGGTGTTTTGGCCTACAACTCTCAGAAATCCCAGCCAGTTTACCAGCTGTTGGGATTTCTGGGAGTTGAAGGCCAAAACATCTGGGGACCCACAGGCTGAGAACCACTGGTCTAAACTGTCAACTACTAAAAAGAGCTACTGACTCCTTGTAATGGAAGCACTTATCTAATAAATTGCAACAGTTTGTCCTGATGAAGAGGTAATTGTTGGAATCACACTAGTTTTTTAAAATAGATTTCATAAATCTGTGCTGTAGTGTTTCCGCTTTTTAAAAGTTGTGATAGCAAGCGTCCAGTTGGCAGATACAGTTCCTTGACATCTCAAACCAGAATCAACCACTAGAGAGCACTGTCATTTCTTTTTGGTTTCTTTGCAGGCCACCACATAGCGCTGAGCCACATTCAGGGGTGGAGAGTAGCCATCTGCATAGCTGGTGTCCTCAAACAGCACTGAATAATCGTCCTGGGGCTACAAGGAGACAGGCAAGGGAGGGGGATAAACATTAACTCCCTAAAGTGAGAGACCCTACGTTCACTACCTAAACTGTTTTGCTTTAGCATCAATTGCCTATACAGCAGGCATGGGCAAACCTCAGCCTCCAGATGTTTTGGACTTCAACTTCCACAATTCCTAACAGCCAATAAACTGGCTAGGATTTCTGGGAATTGAAGTCCAAAATACCCAGAGGGCCAAAGTTTGCCCATGCCTGCTATAGAGTCTGCTTGTGTGTGTGTGTGTCAGGAGCAACTTGAGAAACTGTAAGTCTCTTCTGGTGTGAGGACATTGCCCAGGGGGTGCCCGGATATTTTTTGATGTTTTACCATCCTTGTGGGGAGCTGGAGCTGACAGAGGGAGCTCATACATTATAGAATAATGTGACCCAAACTGTGGGATGGACCAACTCAGTGGTTTTCAATCTTTGTTCTTCCATAGGTTTTAAGTCCTTAAGTCCTTACTGTCAAGCAAGATGACTGTGGCTACTGGAAGATGAAGTCAAAAACTCCCACACGTTAGCAACAAAGACAATCTATATAAATAAAAATGTAATGCTCGTTTGTGGGATTAACATAAATCAATAACCGCTGGGTGAATTGACATGAGATTTGGACACAAAATACTGATCAAGCCAACGAGTGACTATCACTCGTAAAAACACAGAAAAATACAGCAGGAGAGACTTAAAAAGCACCCCCCCCCAAAAAAATACATTACAATGCATGCACAAACCACATATATACACAAATATATATAGAAGTACATACACACATATATGCACACATAAAACACATACACAGAAAGGGGTAAGGAGGGAGAGAAAGAAGGAAAGAAAGAAAGGTAGAGAAGGAAGGAGAGGACAAAATAAAAAAGAGCAAGAGGGAAGGAAGGAGAGAAGGAATGAAAGAGAGAAGGAAGGAAGGAACAAAAGAGACAAGGAAGGATGGAACCAAAGAGCAAAGGAAGTAAGAAAAGAAACAGAAAAGGAAGAAAGAAGAAGGGAAAGAAAAAGAGGGAAGGAAGGAGAGAAAGAAAGAAGGAGACAAAGAGGGAGGGAAGGTTGGCCACAGCAACACGTGGTGGGTGCAGCTAGTCAATTATAAACACCTTTGTGGAAGTGAGGGAGAGATTACAGAGCACAAGGCAAGCAAACTCTTTTCTCTGTTAGTTGACTCCTAACAATAATGATCCTCCTCCCATGCAGCAACTACGCTCCTTAAAAGACTCCATCAGGTCTCAATGGGAGCTTCCAAAGAGCTTAAGGAGCAGGAGACCATGGGAGAAAAGCCTCCTCACCTGAGGCCTAGATTGACATTTGTTTAGCTCTAGCAAAACAGCTTTTATTTTGAATGGGAATTCATGAACAAATGGGCGAAGAAGGGAGAGAACAGAGAAGAACTGTCTCATGGCTTCTTCCTTACCCTCTGTGGTGGAGTGTGGATAAGCGCTCGGTAGAAGCAGGTAGTCTGTGGGTACAAGGCCAGGACCAGCTGGTCCTTCTGGAACAGGGCCTCAGGATCCGTTTCAGGGTTGGCTTTCCACTGAGGAAGGGGGATGATGCGTCGTCGGCTCAAGGTATGGCGCCTATGGGGGAAAGGTACAAATGAAGGCAGGGAAATCCGACTTCTCACAAACCTGACAACTGATCTCCCCCAGTCATAACCACCACTTACTCCTTTCCCTCTTCATCAATGTCATCCACTTCATACCTGGGGAAGACAAAACGGTGGGTGAGAATTCACACAATTTAATTTGCACCACTGTACAGGAGAAAAAGAACAGATGAACCAAAGAGACTCCCACTACGAGGTGTTCAGAAGGCTACCAAAATGATATAGCACCTCAACGCCATGCCCTATGAAGAGTGTGCTTTGGAAGATGGGTGTGTTTAGCCTGGAAAATAAATTGCTAAGGAGGGATATAACAGCTGTTTAAATATATAAAGGCTGTCATATTGAAGATAGAGCAAGCTTCTCCTGCAGAAGAGATAAAGCGGGGTATAAATAAATAAACATAAACATAATAATAATCAAGCCTGAAAAAGTTACAGAAAATGAAAATGTCAAACTACTCTGGGACTTCCATATTCAGACTGACAGAATTTTGGAGCACAATACTCCTGACCTCACGATAGTGGGAAAAAAGTATGGATGGTTGATGTTGCAATCCCAGGCGACAGCAGGATTGACGAGAAGCAACTGGAAAAGCTGACAATATCCAAGAATTTAAAGATCAAACTGCAAAGACTCTGGCACAAGCCAGTAAAGGTGGTCCCAGTGCTGCACTGCACATTGGGTGCAGTGCCTAAAGACCTTGGCTTGCACTTAAAAACAATCGGCTCTGACAAAATTACCATCTGTCAGCTGCAAAAAGCCACCCTACTTGGTTTCCAAGCTACACACTTGGAAACTGTCTGACATGTGATAATACAAAAACCAGCATAGTGATCTTGTTTACTGTGTACTAATCTTGTTGTGTATACAATAACAATAGCAACAAGCTTGTTTCTGCTGCTCCAGAGACTAGGGTACAGAGCAATGAATTCCCACTTCAGGAACAACAGGAAAAACCTCCTGAGGGTAAGAACTGTTTGAAAGTGGAATATGCTACTTTGGGATATAGTGTGATGATGTCTCCTACTTTGGAAGCTTTTAAATAGAGGCTGGATGGTCATATCTTGGGAATGCTTTCATTGTGTATTCCTGCACAATAAGGGATTGGACTGGTTATGAACTCTTCCAATTCTATGATTCTATAAAGCATCACAATCCCACTTTTTCTGAATAACTGGAAAGGTTGCTTCTAATAGGTATTCAGATTAACATCCCTTCTAAACTCTTAAGACAAAAATTACATTTCATGCTTGTGTTTGTTCCTGGGCCAATTTAGGCTCGATGAACACAGTGCCCTGTAGTCCAGTTCTATTGCTCAGGATGTACTCCATATACTCACTTGTTGGTGGCATGGTTGTAGCTCACTGCCTCAGCCAAGATCCACTGCTCATCCCCATCAACTGCCTTGACACGAGCTGCGACTTTGTCCCCTGGCTTGGCCACATAATCGCTAGAGGCAGGGATGGCCCCACAGAGTGGGGGAGGCCTGCAGAGGTGACAGAGAATCAAGCAAGGAAAGCATACCTACTAAGATACAGCCATTCAAGGTGACTTCTCAGCACACAGCGCAATCCCTGAATACTCACTTCTCGCCAGGTTTCCCAATCCACAAAGGAAGCGTCATGGCCGACTGCTGGAGGAGCGTCATCAGCACGCCACGGCGCATGGTTTTGCGAGGTGGCTCCGAGTCATTGTAGAGGCCAGCAATCTTGGCAGCTGTGAGAAGAGAAGGAAACAGAGCAGATAACTTGGTTAGCATCAAACAAACTTAGGGCTTGAGTATTATTTGTTTATTTTATTTGCCATATTTATACCCCACCCTTCTCAACCCCAAAGGGGGCTCAAGGCCGCTTTACACACAGACAACTATTATTATGACTATTATTATTATATTTATTTACTAGCCGTCCCCTGCCACGCGTCAATGCGTCAACTCAAGGTCAATGCCCACCAAACCCTTCTAGTGTTTTCTGTTGGTCATGGGTGTCCTGTATGCCACGTTTGGCCCAATTCTATTGTTGGTGGGGTTCAGAATGCTCTGTGATTGTAGGTGAACTATAAATCCCAGAAACTAAAACTCCCAAATGTCAAGATTCTATTTTCCCCAAACTCCACCAGTGTTCACGTTTGGGCATATTGAGTCTTCGTGTAGAGTTTGGTCCAGACCCATCATTGTTTGAGTCCACAGTGCTCTCTGGATGTAGGTCAACTACAACTCCAAAACCAAAGGATACTGCCCACCAAACCCTTCCAGTATTTTCTGTGTGCCAGGTCTGGTTCAATTCCATCATTGGTGGTGTTCAGAATGCTCTTTGATTGTAGGTGAACTATAAATCCCAGCAACTACAACTCCCAAATGACAAAATCATTTTTTTAGTGAAGGTCATACATTGGGTTTCTTAGGTGTCTTGTGTCCAAATTTGGTGTCAATTCGTCCAGTGGTTTTTAAGTTCTGTTCATCCCACAAACGAACATTACATTTTTATTTATATAGAAGATACCTTGCTTTATCTCTCCCGAAGGAGACAAAGCAGCTTAGCTCATCACCTTTGGAAGATGAGCTAATAGGAAGTTACAGGTGTTTTATACTTTTTACAGGGTTTTTTATAATGTGTGTTAACTGTTTTTAATTTTGTTTTAATTTTGTTTATGTTCATTGTGGCATCGAATCGTGCTAGTGTAAGCCGCCTTGAGTTGCCTTTGGGTTGAGAAAGGCGGCATAGAAATGCAGCAAATAAATAAATAATAACATAAAAGCATTAGCATACAATTTAAAATATACATACAATTTAAAATATGCAAACATTAAAATAGAATTAAACATAAACAGTGTTTAAAAATTCACAGTTAAAATCCATTAAAACATATTTAAAGTTAAATACCAAAGTTAAAAACTATATTGCACTATTCAGTACTAACAAATGCAAAGCCCCAGCCTTGTTCTTTAAAGCGAAATTTATGGTTTAAGATTACAAAATGTATTTTTTAGTACCCCAAAGAAACAGATTGTTGGGCTAATCTCCCCTATTTCGGATTAACTGCACAACCCTGTTAATCGGAAATCAATAATGCTGTTTTTGTATTTCTGTGGCATGGATGAGCCATGTAATTCCTTCATCACAAGGAATTTGGGAACTTATCTTTAACGTAAGATACCTATTTGTTGTTGTTTATTTGTTAGGTCGTTTCCGACTCTTTGTGACCTCATGGACCAGTCCACATCAGTTGCCACCCCTAGCTCCTTCAAGGTCAATCCAGTCACTTCAAGGATGCCATCCATCCACCTTGCCCTTGGTCGGCCCCTCTTCCTTTTTCCTTCCATTTTCCCCAACATCATTGTCTTCTCCAAGCTTTCCTGTCTTCTCATGATGTGGCCAGAGTACTTCATCTTTACCTCTAATATCCTTCCCTCCAGTGAGCAGCCAGGCATAATTTCCTGGAGTATGGACTGGTTGGATCTTCTTGCAGTCCAAGGCACTCTCAGAATTTTCCGCCAGCACCACAGTTCAAAAGTGTTGATCTTCCTCCGCTCAGCCTTCCTTATGGTCCAGTTCTTGTATCCATAGGTTACTATGGGGAATACCATTGCTTTAATTATGCAGATCTTCCTTGCTCATGTAATGTCTCTACTCTTAACTATTTTATCGAGATTGGTCATTGCTCAACTCCCAAAAAGTAAACATCTTCTGATTTCCTCGCTGCAGTCTGCGTCTGCAGCAATACAAAGTCTGTCACTGCCTCCACATTTTCTCCCTCTATTTGCCAGTTATCAATTGGTCTGGTTGCCATCATCTTGGGTTTTTTTTTTAATGTTTAACTGCAACCCAGCTTTTGCATTTTCTTCTTTCACCTTGGTTAGAAGGCTCCTCAACTCCTCAATTTGAGCCATCAAAGCAGTATCATCTGCATATCTAAGGTTGTAGGAACCCCCGGTGGCACAGTGGTTTAAACCCCTGTGCCAGCAGGACTGAAGACTGACAGGTCACAGGTTCAAATCCGGGGAGAGGCAGATGAGCTCCCCCTATCAGCTCCAGCTCCTCATGCGGGGACATGAGAGAAGCCTCCCACAAGGATGATAAAAACATCAAAAATCATCTGGGCGTCCCCTGGGCAATGTCTTTGCAGACGGCCAATTCTCTCACACCAGAAGCGACTTGCAGTTTCTCAAGTCACTCCTGATACAACAAAAAAAAAAACTAAGGTTGTTAATGTTCGTCCAGCAATTTTAAGTCCAGCTTGGATTCATGAAGCCCCGCATGTTGCATGATGATGTTTTTCTGCATACAAGTTGAATAAGTCGGGTGAGAGTAAAAAGCCCTGCCGTGCTCCTTTCCCAATCTTGAACCGGTCGGTTGTTCTGTGGTGTGTTCTTACCATTGTTATTTTATGGTTATACAGATGCCTCAGATACTTATACCTTCAACCATTAGTGGGTAGTTTCAAATTACAGGAGGAGGAAGGATTAACTGTAACTTATAGTCTTCAGGGCCAACTTTAGCCTCAAGTAAAACCTTGGTCCACATCAGACCAGAATTTCTGAAGCTTCTGAATTCTCCTGGCTAATATAGCCAATTGTCCAATCAGAAGGCTGGGTAACACACCCGTTTCAGTGGGCTCTGATAATAAAGGCAAGACCAGCAAAGTGGAAACAAGGGCTGAAGCCACAGCCATTCAGGAAAAAGTATTTTCCTGAATGGCTGGTTTTGGTGCCATTTATGCCATGGCTTTCAGGCAGTTCACCCCACACATTTGATCTTGCCTCCTCAAAACCGTGCTGCACTCACCAATACGACGTTCTTCTAGAAGAGACTTAATCTCAGCAATCTTATCCAAGTCCTTACGTAGGATGCTGAAAAGGAGACAAATGAAGAGTGAGCAGAAACTTTTCCAAAGAGGGAATGAAGTGTTTTTTGCATAATATCCCATTTCACTCACTTGCATTCAGCTTCTGCGTCAGCTTTGGCTGTCGTGTAGAGACCCCGCAACTTGGTCCGATAATATGGAGATACTGACAGAAAGAAAGATAAGCAGATGAGGAAACTGAGCCCCGAGCTTCCCATACAACTCCCATGCTCTGATATCTAGGCAGAGTATCTCTGGTAATAAACAATTTATTTATTTACAGTCTTTATATTCTGCCCTTCTCACCCTACAGGGGACTCAGGGCAGATTACAATGTACATATACATGGCAAACATTCAATGCCATAAACACACAACATATATGGACAGACACACAGAGGCTATTTAACATTCCAGCTTTTTTCATGAGGATATTCTGGCCACCAGGGGAGCTGTTGCTTCATCGTTCATTTGTGACACTGATGAAGTACTTCCTCATTCTTTACATGCTTACTGGGGATTTTTATGGCGTCGTAAATAAGCCTCCCCGCATAAGCGGTACCTAAATTTCCTACTTGACAGATGCAACTGTTTTTTGGGCTGCAAAGGTCGACAGCAAGTTACACAAATTTGCAACCTGGGCTGGCTTCGAACTCATGACCTTTAGGTCAGTAGTGATCTTAAAGCAGCTGACTCCCAGCCAGCTGCACCAAGGATTGTTCTGGAAGAGTTGGGAAAGAGCAGAGGCATTGGACAAGACTGCTTTATAGGTACAAAGCACACAAGAAAAGTCAAATCAAGACTCTCTAGTCCAGGCTTGGGCAAACTTGGGCCCTCCAGGTGTTTTGGACTTCAACTCCCATACTTGGCTGTTAGGAACTGTGGGAGTTGAAGTCCAAAACATCTAGAGAACCCAAGTTTGCCCATGCCTGCTCTAGTTTCACACTGAGTTTTCCACTTTGATCAAACAAGTGCCAATGGGAAGATCACAAGCAGGACATGAGGGAAACAATTCCTACTAGTATTGAAAATAAGCTGCTTCTGATCCTGACCACTGAAAGAACAGGTCAAATCAATCATTAACTGAATGAGAGAATGAATGAATGCCATCACTGAACTCTGTTGAAGTGAATTCGAGTTTTTTTCATCCACTGCAAATTTGCAACTCAGTCAAATACTCAAGACCAAGAAGCAAAACAGACAGATGTGTGACATAATTATTGCATCTCTCAGCTTCAATGAATGATGCCTGCTTCTGAATTGCTTTTTTTTTTACCTGAAGGAAGATGTCTCCCTACACGTTTTCTCCAAATCTATATAAATAAAAATGTAATGTTCGTTTGTGGGATTAACATAATTCAAAAACCACTGGACGAATTGACACCAAATTTTGACACAATACACCTATCAGGCCCACGAGTACCCATTACTCACAAATACACTGAAAAACACAACAGAAGGGACTTAAAAGGCCAAAAAAGAACGATCTCCCGGCAAACAAAACACACAATAGCATATCCACACTCTCTTCTGGACTACAGCTCCCAGCATTCCCTAGACCAGGCCCTTTAAGAGAGGAGGATGATCCAAATGCATTGTTTCCAAGCTGCAAGCTTTTTTGTCCTTAGATTTCTTTGAGAGCATCCCAATCCCTGTGTATTTCCAATTTCCTATTCCTGGACTGCAACTCCCAGCAATCCTCCAGATAGATGGATTAGATAGAGATAGGTAGATAGATAGATAAAATATATAGATCAAGAGGATTGCTGGGAGTTGCAGTCCAAGAATAGGTAGAGAAGGAAGAAAGGGGAGAAAGAGGAAGGGAAAGAAAAGAGGGGAACGAAGAGAAGAGGAAGAGAAGGAAGGAGAGAAAGAAAGGAGGAGAGAAAGAGGGAGGGAAGGTTGGCCACAGCAACTCATGGCAGGTACAACTAGTCACATATAAATATATATATATATATCCTCATATGTTTTCCAAATAAAATATCTCCAAATGTTGTAACCTTTTCTCATGAAACACTTAGGTTGTCCTGTTTGCCACCTATCTAGATGTACAATATCCTTTTGAGACACAAGAATTTCCCAATACAGGATACTCCAGGTATTTTGGGCTACCAATATGTAGCTACACATTGCTACAAATACACTGTGGATTTAAGTTGAAACATAAACATGTACAGTCCCAACTCACTTTTATTTTCTGTCTGCATCCTCTCATGTGTTTTCTGGATGTTCACCAGGTTGTGTTCGCTCCTTGATCGTTCCTCCTGACAACAAAAGTGACTCTGGGTAACTTTACTGGCAAAATACCTTCTCTCTAATCACATATGCTGTCATATTCAGACTGTTTCCCCAGTCCTTCCCATCCAACCTTCTGACATAGTATATTAAGACTGCAAATTTAAAAGATGCTCTTTATCCAGAGAAACAGCTGGGAAAATCTTCCATTCTGTCATTGCAGACAACCACAAAGGGAGGAGACTCTCTTTTCTCTCCACATTCACATCACTTTTCATACAAAAGGAAAAATTTTTATCACCTGTGTTTGTTTGATAAGTTGATGCAACTCCCCTAGGAGTTCGGCAATGCGGGAATCGGCTGATACCAGAGCCATATCACTGAAAGATATGGGGAAAGGAAAACAAATTCAAAAAGTTAATTTTTCATAATTATGTTGATTATGTTATTTCATTCTGTGGGAGTACAACTCCGAGAAATGCAATAAAGGTTGCACTGCGGAGATAGGGGAGGAAGGGATCTTTATCACCAAAACATCTAATATTATTTTTCAAAAGGGGTTGTCTTTGAAGACCTCTCTCTTCTGGCAGGCCTACCCAAACAATTTTAGATGGTGAATTTTAAATGTGCATTATATTTGCATTTTTATACATGTACTTGTATTTAATCCTTGCACTATATATTTTAATATATGTATTTTGTGACGGTATGTCAATGCATGTATTTTATGGTGATGTGTTCTAACTGTGTTGTGCCCTACCTCGAGTCAGAATAAGCAGGTAACAAATATATTATTATTACTATTATTATTTGATACACAAGATTAGTACACAGCAAACAAGATCACTATGTTGGCTTTTGTGTTTGAACACACTTCGGACATTTCCCATGTCTCTAGTACTATGTGATGTATCGGTGAATAATGTGTGCAGATCTGAGTAGGGTGGCCTTTTGCAGCTGACAGACGGTAATTTTGTAAGTGCCGATTGTTTTTAAATGCAGGCCAAGGTCTTTAGCCACTGCACCCAGTATGCCGATCACCAGTGGGACCACCTTTACTGGCTTGTGCCAGAGTCTTTGCAGTTCGATCTTTAAATCCTCATATTGTGTATTATTGTTATTATTATTGTTGTTGTTGTTGTTGTCATAAACATCATCATCATCTGAATGACACATGCTGAAATACTGCAATGTAGCCTTGTGATCAATGCAAACAAAAGAACCAGAGTCTTCCCCTGGCAAGTTTGTGTTAACCATATTGAGCCTGTGGACGAAAAGTTCTTTATGCCTGCTATGGAAAATATTGAGCAAGAATGATGAAGCAATGTGCTGACTTAGGTTCTGGCACTGTTCTGATATTCTTAGAAGTCTTTTCCAACCCCTGGTGTCATCCAGATGTGTTTAGACTACAAATAACACCATGCCCATACAGCATAGTGAGTGAGCCTTCAGGCAGGGATGATGGGGATTGTAGTCCGAGCATCAAGAATTTGCCTGTTTTGGAAAGATGTTATTATATGACTAGTGCTAACTAAGAACCAGCCATCAAGATAACAAGACTTTCTGCTAATGTTGATCAGTCCCAAAACCAAACTGAACTAAATTTGGATCAGGGCTGAATTAGATGAGAAGAGTCTGAAGTGGTGCATACTGAAGTGGTGCATAGGGTGAACCATAGAAAGAGGGAAGCCACACAATATATCTCCACAATGTGGCAGCACATACCACTGCAAGGAAAGGGAAAAGGAAGCTAAGGCAAGGTTTGTTCACATTACCATTCCAACTTCTAACTTAAGGTACAAATCTAACCAGCAAAACCCAAACACAATGGCTGAGAAAAGGAAGAAAATAAAGGAGTATTATTTTCTTTTCTGCTACTATTCTGTTTGCCACAGGAAGTTTTGAAAGACCTTTGTCAGAGTGCTTGCGTTTCTTCATTTAGACTACAGTCCTTCTTTCTCAATTCAGTCCCACCCTTCCTTTTTCTTCATATTTGTTCTTTATTTGAGTGAATCTCTGTATTGGTTTAGTAGTGGTTTTTACTCAACAGTGTTGTGTGCTGTTTAATGTTTTTAATTATTCATTTTAGATGGGGCTATTTTAATGTTTATCATCTTTGGCTTTACACGGTATTGTTTTGACCASTGTTTGTCACTTTAAGATAAAAAGGGCACTATATAAATAAATATAAATATAATAATAATAATAATAATAATAATAATAATAATAATAATAAAGGGGGGAAATAGGAGAAGAAATCTGGACATCTGAAAAGCAGCTGAAAAAGTGTGCGTGTTGGGGGGGGGGGGGATGGATTAAGCAAGACTAAAAGCTGGAAAGTATAAAAGTTTCCAGCTTTTAGTCTTGATTAATCCCTTCCTCCCACTTTTTCTGCTGCTTTTCAGATGTCCTGGTTTGCCTTTGCCTTCCTCTGGATTTAATAATAATAATAATAATAATAATAATAATAATAATAATAATAATAATAATAGAGGTGGTGATTGGCCCACTGGGTGCAGTGCCTAAAGACCTTGGCCTGCACTTAAAAACAATCGGCACTGACAAAATTATCACGTCAGCTGCTCGGATCTGCATGCATTATTTGCCGATACATCACACAGCCCTAGACATTTGGGAAGCCAGTATAGTGATCTTGATTCCTGTGTACTAATCTTGTTGTGTATCAAATAATAACAATTTGATTTCTTACCCACCTCTCCTCAGGGCTCAAGGTGGGTTACAAAACAATTTAGCTATATAAACACAGCAAAACTCTACAAATATTCACACTAAAACATACTTCCATAAAAGTTACACACCAAAACGTATCTCTACAAACTGCATATTATGACACACAAAACAGAGATGGAATAAAGGACATTTAAAATTCATGTTGAAAGACTGTCGGGGTAGACCTGCCAGAAGAGATAAATCTTTACATGGCTTTGAAATTCCATCAGCTGATTTAGGTGTCAGAGCTCTACCAGCAGGTTGTTCCACAGCCTCGGGGAGGCTGACTAAATGGTCCTCTGGGTGGTGGTTGCCAGTCAGGTTCTGCCTGGTTGGAGCAGATGCCCCCCAGAAGACTGAAGTGTGTGGGGCAGATTGTATGGGAGAAGGCGATCCTTTAGGTAACCTGGCCTTTAAAGGTCAAAACTATCACCTTGTACTTAGCTCAGAAAATAACTGGCAGCCAGTGGAGTGACTTTAGGATAGGTGTGATATGCTTACTCTTGAATGTTCCTGTAACCCAGTGGTTCTCAACCTGTTTGTCCCCAGGTGTTTTGGTCTACAACTCCCAGAAATCCCAGCCAGTCTACCAGCTGTCAGGATTTCTGGGAGTTGAAGGTCAAAACATCTGGGGACCCACAGGCTGAGAACCACTACTGTAACCAATCTTGCTGCTGTATTTTGAACGAGTTGGGAGTTTCCGAACTTGGTACAAGGGTAGCCCAATGTCAAGTGCATTGCAAAAGTCCAACCTTGAGGTTACCAGTGCGTGCACTATTATCTTCATGTCCTCCAAAGCTAGGAAGGGGTGCAGCTGGCGTATCAGTCAAAGTTGATAGTAAGCACTCCTGTCGCATCTACGTGGGTTGACATTTGGAGAGATGGCTCCAGGAGTAAGCTGCAAACACAGTCTTTCAGGGAGAGTGCAAACCCATCCAGAACTGGCTGACACACCTCCATCCTCAGATGAGGACCTTTGGTGGCAAGCACCTGTTTTGTTTGAATTCAGTTTCAATTTGTTTATCCGCATCTAGCCTATTACCTGCTCCGGGTTTTCGTTCAGAGGAGACATACTATCCTCAGCTGAAGATGTCTTTGAAGGCATGGAGAAATATATTTGGGTGCCATCACACATATTGGAAATAGCCTATATGTCTGCTTTAATCCAATATTTATTTCTAATCTATGTGTTTTAAATATGTTTAGTTACATAATTCAAAGCTGGGGTGAAAATTGCTGGAAGAAACATTAACAACCTCAGATATGCAGATGACACCACTCTGATGGCCGAAAGCGAGGAGGAGCTGAGGAGCCTTCTAATCAAGGTGAAAGAAGAAAGCACAAAAGCTGGGTTGCAGCTAAACATCAAAAAAACCAAGATTATGGCAACAAGAATGATTGACAACTGGGAAATAGAGGGAGAAAACGTGGAGGCCGTGACAGACTTTGTATTTCTAGGCGCAAAGATTACTGCAGATGCAGACTGTGGCCAGGAAATCAGAAGACGCTTACTTCTTGGGAGGAGAGCAATGTCCAGTCTCGATAAAATAGTAAAGAGTAGAGACATCAGACTGGCAACAAAGATCCATTGCCTAGTCAAAGCATGGTATTCCCCGTAGTCACCTATGTTGTGAGAGCTGGACCTTAGGGAAGGCTGAGCGAAGGAAGATAGATGCTTTTGAACTGTGGTGTTGGGAGGAAAGTTCTGAGAGTACCCTGGACAGCGAGAAGATCCAGTCCATACTTCAAGAAATGCTCATTGGAGGGAAGGATATTAGAGGCCAAGATTAAGTACTTTGGCCGCATCATGAGAAGAAAGGAAAGCTTAGAGACAATTATGCTGGGGAAAATGGAAGGCAAAAGGAAGAGGGGCCGACCAAGGGCAAGATGGATGGATGGCATCCTTGAAGTGACTGGACTGACCTTGAAGGAGCTGGGGGTGGTGACGGCCGACAGGGAGCTCTGGCGTGGGCTGGTCCATGAGGTCACGAAGAGTCGGAGACGACTGAACGAATGAACAACAACACATAATTCTAGGTTGTGTCCCACCTTTAGTCTTGGGGAAAGTAGCCTAAGACACAACAATAACACCCTTCCCGTGGACATCAGACTGGCTCCCTCCCTGATGATATTCCGCAGGAAATTAAAGACCTGGCTGTTCAAGAAGGTGTTTGAACAAGAAGTGCAATAATTGGTAATGACGACAGGAATGGAACAACGGAAAATGATACTGGATTGTGGTTCAAACGATGAGACGATGTGAATGGCTGTATGTATTATTGATATTGCTGATGTTTTTGGTTACTGCTAGACTGATATTTTAGATTGTGTCTTGAATTTTGAACCTTGTTTTTCTATGTTGTACACCGCTGTGAGTCGCCCCCGGGCTGAGAACAGCGGTATATAAGCAAAGTAAATAAATAAATAATAGTAATATTATTATCATCACCTGGTGTTCTCTGTACTTGGCTTCCCATTCAAGTACTAACCAGGCCTGGCCCTATTTAGCTTCCAATAACAAAAGGCATATAATGTCTTCAATGTATAGGTTTATTAATATTGCTACCTTCTACCCTAAAAATAGATCTTTGTTAAAGAAATATGCTTGGAGAAGCTTTGCTCTGCTCAATATGGCAGCACATGTTGTTGTTCATTCGTTCAGTCGTCTCCGACTCTTCGTGACCTCATGGACCAGCCCACGCCAGAGCTCCCTGTCGGCCGTTACCACCCCCAGCTCCCTCAAGGTCAGTCCAGTCACTTCAAGGATGCCATCCATCCATCTTGCCCTTGGTCGGCCCCTCTTCCTTTTGCCTTCCACTTTCCCCAGCATAATTGTCTTCTCTAGGCTTTCCTGTCTCCTCATGATGTGGCCAAAGTACTTCAACTTTGTCTCTAGTATCTTTCCCTCCAGTGAGCAGTCGGGCTTTATTTCCTGGAGGATGGACTGGTTGGATCTTCTCGCAGCCCAAGGCACTCTCAGCACTTTCCTCCAACACCACAGTTCAAAAGCGTCGATCTTCCTTCGCTCAGCCTTCCCTAAGGTCCAGCTCTCACATCCGTAGGTGACTACAGGGAATACCATGGCTTTGACTAGGCGGATCTTTGTTGCCAGTCTGATGTCTCTACTCTTCACTATTTTATCGAGACTGGACATTGCTCTCCTCCCAAGAAGTAAGCGTCTTCTGATTTCCTGGCCACAGTCTGCATCTGCAGTAATCTTTGCCCCTAGAAATACAAAGTCTGTCACATATGTTTCCTCAAATTCTGTAATAGCCTTTGGACTCTCACAATTCCTTATTACAAAGTAAAACTGAGGATGCTTGCCATAGATGCAGGCGAAACGTCAGGAGAAATGCCTCTAGAACATGGCTCTATAGCCCGAAAAAACCCAGAAGAACCTAGTGATTCCAGCCATGAAAGCCTTCGACAATACATAAAACAATAGGGTTATAATCTGGCTGCAGCTGAACAAGTGGTTGCGCATGCGCAAAACCAAAAGCCACGTTTTCCTTGCTCCCAAGCGCAAGAGCGAGCGCGCATGCGCAAAGCCAAATATTCCTTGCTCCCAAGCGCAAGAGCGAGCGCGCATGCGCAAAGCCAAATATTGGTTTCGCCCACAGCACCCTTCTTCGTAGCCGCGCCCTCCCCCGCTCCCTACCGTTTGGGATTTAGATCGGTAGCAGCAGGACGACGTAGGAATGCGGGTGCGAGACAACACAAAACAAAAAAATATAAAAATTTAAAAAAATGCGGGTACGACTGAAAATGGCGCTAAATCCGCAGGAAGGAGTATCACGCATGCGCAGTTTGGAACCTGCCTTTGGGCGGCGCGCGCAACTGAAGTTTTTTTTTTTTCAGACTGGAGGACAGGATGAGTTCTAGTGCGCATGCGCAATATTCTCGGCAACGTTCGCTTCGCTGTCTTCTCGCATTCCAATGCCGAGCCGACTTTGTACCAATGCTATAGCAGCCTTCCTGACGCGCATGCGCATTAGTTACTACATAAGGGCCATAAATCAACAGGCAATATATTGGATTTTTGGAAATCCAATATTTTTTAAAAAACGTATGGAGATCCTGAAAGGACTGATAGGCAATGCAATATTAAGCATTATAAAAACAGCTTATAAGTCAATGCTCTTTTGAACTACAAGTCCCAAAAGCCTCAGCCAGTTTGGCCAAATGTCATGAAGTCCAAGCAAAGAATCAAAGAGGCCTAAGCTTCAAGTGAAGCCTCATCTGCACTGCTTGAAGGTGCACTGCACTTGAATGGCTGTGGAAGAGAAGGCCCAAAACCATGGAAAACTACAACTCTCCTGATCCCATAGCATTGAGCCATGGCTTTTCAAGTGGTGCCAAACTGAATTAATTCTACAGTGTAGATGTGCGGATGCTAAGCTAGGTACAATGGCTCTTCAAGCCCCTGCTTCTTTCCAACTCTGGCTGAAACCCAGTTGTTTTTTGCCACTAAGTGTTGACTTCACCCTATAGGCTAAGTGTTGCCTATTAACTAACTAACGTTTAGTTAGTTAATAATTGTTCATCTATTGAGTACAAGGTGAACCAGCGCTATTGATTCGAGATAAGATTGTGCAGCTTTCGCTGAGGTAAGGCCTCTGAAAACTGAAAGGACAAGGCAACTTTGTTGTTAAACCAAGGGTGGGAATTATGGGTGATTCTTCTGGGTAGGGCCAATGGGAGTTGCAGTTCATCAAGTTCCCATTGATTTGAGTGGTTGCCTTGGTTGGGACTGATAACTCTTTATCAGATATGGGCCAACTTGAGCCCTCCAGGTGTTTTGGACTTCAACTCCCACAATTCCTAACAGCCTCATGCTCTTTCCTTTTCCCCGTGAAAAGGAAAGGGCCTGAGGCTGTTAGGAATTGTGGGAGTTGAAGTCCAAAACACCTGGAGGGCCCAAGTTGGCCCATGCCTGCTCTATATCCATGTCAGCAATATTGACACTGAAAAAACAAAACTCCAAAAGGATTTTGTAGCACCGGAAAGAACAATACAGCCTTATTTGGCATAAGCACATGACTGACCAAATGTATTATTAGTATTAAAGTACATTAAGTCCCTTGTTTTGTTTGCCAGAGACTAACATAGCTAGCTAGCTAACATCACAAGATGACATGACTCATTGAGAAGGACAATAATGTTAAGTGAAGTTAGGAAAAAGAGGAAATAACTTCACAAAAGCCACAACTCTTGAATGCTCAGGACCTGCATAAATCAGAACCACCGCAAATCAGCATTGATTTGATGGCAGATAATAACAGAAAGCAATACGGAAACATCTACAGTGGTGGTTCTGTTAATTAGTAGCGAGGAAAATACTTGTCAACAAAGAGCTGATATAAAGATGATTATTTTTTTCATGTCAAGAGCACCTTGAGAAACTGCAAGTCGCTTCTGGTGTGAGAGAATTGGCCGTCTGCAAGGATGTTGTCCAGGGGACGCCCGGATGTTTTGATGTTTTATCATCCTTGTGGAAAGCTTGACACATGGGGAGGGGGGGGGGAGCACCTGTATGTTTAGCGAAGCCATCCAAGACTCAGAAGATGCAGGAAATAATTGATACCTTGGTTACTAACGTGGAGACTTTGGAAGCATTCCTTCCTTTGGAATTCTACAACTCTCAGATCCCTATAGTTCTACAAAGTAGCTTTTCCAAGCTCTGCTATCACTTCTGAAGTTCACTCCACCCTGTTAAGGCTGAAAGAAAGAAGTGAGTAACAAAGATGAAGAAGAAAAGAGAAAAAAAATAGCATTTTAAACTTGCTGTCTCATTTTGTTTGGAGAAGATAAAATGCATACTACTAATGGATATTTTCATTGCTCATAGCTTGTTACTCACACACATGCAAACTAAGAGACAACACATTTTCATATTTGGACATACTTGACTAAAGTATTCCTAGACCATGGTGAAATGAGAGGATTTTTTCCCCTTTTTCCTTACATAGGCATAAGAATGAAGACAAAACTTTGGATATATCATGACTAGAAAAGGAAGCGATGCTTAGTAAAAATAGAAGGTAATAGGAAGAAAGGAAGACATAATTACAAGTAGATTGATTCAACCAGAGAAGTTACAACTCCAAATTTGCAAAACCTAAGCAGGGCTATGAGGAGCCCCCAGTGGCGCAGTGGGTTAAACTGCTGAGCTGCTGAACTTGCTGACCAAAAGGTCAGCGGATCGAATCTGAGGAGTGGAGTGAGCTCCCGCTATTAGCCCCAACTTCTGCCAACCTAGCAGTTCAAAAACATGCAAATGTGAGTAGGTACCGCTCCAACAGGAAGGCAACTGCACTCCATGCAATCATGCTGGCCA